CGACTTCCGAAAGACTCACTCATAATACATGATTCATGATTACATGTTTTGATTGGTAGGAGAAACCTGGAGCACCTGGAGGAAACCTTCCGCAAACACAGGCGGATTAGAAAGTCCCTGTCTGGCAGTGGAATCGAATCCAGGACCTTCTTTCTGTGAAGCACAAGTGCGAACCACTTTGTCGACGATAACATACAAGATACTAACACAATTCTTATGAAACTGAACGTTAAAGACCTTATGACGGGTTTGATTTATTTAGAAATACAGTTTTAATACCATTTTATATTAGAAGAAAACTACTAAAGGTTTCAAAATCAGTTGTTGTTTTTTTTGTCTGATCCCCCCAAATCGAAATAACCCCATAGCAACGCCCTTAGAAACGAAAAAACTTCACAGCCCTTGGTGACGTCAGAACGGGTACGTTTCAACGCTGTAAGTTGTTTACAATTTGGTATTCGTTCTTTTTTCGCGGATATTCAAGATGACAAGGCCGTGTACAGCGAGTCTAAAATAACTACTAGAATGTAACATTTCGTTGTCACTGAGATAGTCCAGTGGTTGTGTCGATGGACTGCCAATCCAGACACTTGGGTTCAAATCCCAGCTTGGACATTTTTTCACACTCAAAACGGCAATTTATGTGTAGTGAGCAATTGTTACCTGTAGAGGGCAGTATTGTGTTGGGCATCAGTGGAGAGGAGAGAGAAAAGGCAGTCCTGTGGCATAGATCCATGGTTTTCAATGCATGGGCGTAACCCGCTATGACGTCACACACAGGTTAGAGCATAGACAACTTAAATTCATGAAAAACACGTTCTTTTTATAAAATATAGGATTTTTTTTTCCGGAATCTCTTTCAAATTGACATTGTCATGCAATTTTGATATCCACTATTTTTTTTTAAAAAACCCGTCATAAGGTCTTTAAATAAAAATCTTTTAGTTTTAGAAGCACAAATGTAAAAAAACTGTTTTTGCCGTTCTTCCAGATATATTAAATCTGCACTAACTGACGTTGGGATTTTGAAGCCGTGGACTCGCTGGCCTCGCTCTCTCTGCTCCCCTCCCCGCACCCACGAAGCTATCGCCCCCCAAACACACTCACTGTTGGGACGGAGCTAGCCTCTCCCAATATGGATAATACATGGACATGGATTTTCACGTGGATGGCGTGACCATAGAACGATAGAACCGGGAAGCGCGGAGGAACGAGACTTTCTTTTGGATGGCTGTTTCGCTGTGTAAGCAGTAACCGGTGACGAAGACGAGGAAGCTTCAGGTTAGCTTCTCGGCTTGTTGTGCTAACTCAGCTGTCTGTGCTAACGGACCTGTAGATTTCTCACGAAAGTGGGGGCCAGTGGTTCGCTGTGATTGGTCACAATCTGCGACCCGAAACACATTCTCTTCCTTGTTTCATCAAAACTCGATCGAAAATATAATGTCAGGCCAGCACAAATCTGCACTACTTTTTATTCAAAAGGACGTTTATCCCAATGCACTACATGGACATGGATTGCATTTTCGTAATTAATACGAAAATAAAGTCAGTTAGTGCAGCTTTAACCAGTTTTAGCTCTTAGTAAAAGTGAGTAAAAAAAAAACCTTGAACCTATACATTTCTTACTATTTCAGAATGCCATTGATTTTTATGGGAGCTGTCAAAATAACTCAAAAGTCTCAGAATTCTGGGAGTCCGAGTGTAAATAGGAGCATGTATGTGACTGCTGTGTAGTCCCTGGTCCTGCCCCTGCTCTCAGACTGATGAGGTTTCTGTTGCCTGCTGCTGTGATGCTGATGATCCAGAGAAGCAGGAAGTAGAACCCGTAAAACTGGCCTGATGCACTGATCCATGCACCGTGTGGTTCTTCCTGCTGATCACAGAGCGGGAGTTTACCATCGAGCTCATGACCAGCAGCAAATGACCCGTGTCGGCTCTAACTGTTGTTCTTTTCTGTGAAAGGAGCGACAAAAATGTGGATCAACCTGGTTTCTTTTAAATGACTGAATTCAGGCGCAAAAACACGGATATTTGACAACAAAGCGACACGTGATAATTTCTCTGTTACATTTAGGGTTTTTACTGTGAGCCATAATAATCAATAAGTTATTATTATTGATATTAATTATTCATTTTTTTAAAACAGATAAGTGCCATTAGAAAAATATTTGAAAGGCTTTTAAGTCAAAGCCAGTATTTCAGTGCCATACAAATATATTTTCACCCCTTTTTGAGAAAATACTTACCTAACCCTAACCCTGTTCTGCCAATAATAAAACTTGGTGCAGATTGTAACTAGAGGTATACAACTTTTTGACATTTTTATTTTTAATTTTTAAAACTCACTTTGCGGGTAATGAGTCTGTTGTGTTTGGGGAATGTAATAGTAGTAATTCATTGAACGTTGAATTAAAGAAGTAAACAGACTTTTTGGACAAGATTCACATTTTCACATGCTGAAGCAAGGATGATCAAATGTAGACAACATTCTTGAAGTAAAATTACTGGTGTGTGTGTGTGTGTGTGTGTGTGTGTGGGTGAGAAAGAGAGAGTTTGGGTTGTGTGTCTCTGGTAGGGTATTGTATATTACTGAATCTTCTGCAGAGTGGGAATAAATGCTTGAATCAAGTGTTTTTTATCTTAACTTGAGCACATTGGGACTGGTTTGCCAATGGGAAAAATCCATGTAGTTTTATTTCAAGAACTTCAGCTTGATTTTCACATTCGAAGAGAGATATTTATCGGATCTCAGTTCATTTTGCTTGTCCTAATGGCAAATCTTAAGGCAGTCAAAATGCGCATTTCTTTATTTTCAATCACTTTTTGCAGTTTATGTTGATTAATTGTATTGTATTCTGTGTATTATTGTGTCGTGTTGGATGGGTGAGATGAGAGGGGGTTGAGATAAAACAATCGGCTTCATCCAATCCCTTTTTCAAACCTGTATTAGTTTGAAGATTTGGAGAAGTGTGTCGTCATGTTCTATATAAATCTAACTTACCAACTGATATCAAGGGCATTCTACTAATTTACTTGTATACTTTGGAGAAAACAACTTCGGTTATTGTTGCTAAGTTACATGCACACACACAGACACACACACACACACACACGCACACACACATACCTGGCTGTAAGGAATCCAGAAGGACAAAGGGGAGAAGATGAACCTGCAATAAGACAGCTGCTGGGTGAGACTAACGACTGATCCTCGCACTGGGGGGATATCAGTCAGACGGAGGATCACAGTGACATATGACACATGTGCGTGTCTCTGTAACACACACACACACACACACACACAACCTTCCCAGAGCTGTTAAAAACTGCTTCAAAATCATCCTCAGTGTATTCTGTTCTTGAGTCTGTTTTGATTCTTCCGTGTTGAGTCTGTAATGCAGTCCTTTCAAAGACATGCGGCTGCTACACAATGGCTGACAACACACCGCACAAAAGACTGATAACGTCGACAACACAATGAATGGAGCCGTGTTGACAAGCGCCGACCACGTTTCCACTGAACACATGAAAAATGATACAGTGTCACCGCTCACAACATCGATGACAGGTGAGAGGAACTCAGCCGAGGCAGGACAAAACACACACACACGCGACATGTGCACAATGAGGACGACAAGGTGGAAGCCCCCTCACTCCCTGTCAATTCAATGTATTCTTGTATAGCCCTACATCACAACAGAAGTGTCATGGTGTGGATTTTTTGTTATTTTGACTTGTCTTCGGTTCTCCGGTTTTGTTTTTTAGTTTGACTTCCTGTCTTGTTCCCCTTGTTGCTGCTCCATTGTCTTTACCCGTCCATATTCCTGAGTTTTGTGTGGATTTTTGGTTCGTTTTTACCCTGGACTTTCATTTTTATACGTTCAATAAATCATAATTTTGTGGGCCCTTCCTTCATTCCAGCACGTGACAAGTAGTGACGTCAGAGGACTTCACAAAGCGGTTGAATTCGCCAACACAGATCACAGAATCAAACAGTTCAATCGCAAGAAATGCAATGATAAAAAACCACAAAAAACGTAGAGCCATTGGTCCATAAGGGGCAGGTGACCAATGTCCGTAAATGTCATAACCCACACTCAGGAATATAACTTTTAATGATCAAAATGTGTGCTTATACATTGCTTTTTTGGACACTCAAAGATGCTTCACAAAGGGGCATTCATAGAGCAAAGGAAAGAACCATCAACCACATTAGCCAATCTAAATTTCATGTTTTGTGTGGACTTTTTGACCACTTTTTCGGCTTTTATTTTGACATATTGGTTCTTCAGTGTTGCTCATGTCTGTTCTGTTAATTGCCTGTCCCGCCCCAATGTGTGTCCCTGTGTGTATTAAAACCCTGGGCTCCTCTCCCGTTGTTGTTGGTCCATTGTGGTTTTGTCCCTGTTTCGTCCTGGATTGAGTTTTAAGATTGGTTTTGACCTTGGACTTCATTTTATTAAAACATTATTTTTAGCATTCCTGCGTTTGGGTCCTTCTATTTCTTTCTTGTATACTTTTAAAACAAGATTATTTTTCTTGTTCCATTGCCAAATTTTGTTTTAAGGCAGTCAAAAAGTGCTCAAATTCTGACACATAAACCTTTGAGCAATTTTGGACTTATTATTCAACGCTTTTTGCAATGTGGTCCAAAAATGACTAAAAACACGTCTCGCATCAGATTGTAAAGCGAAGGAAAGAGTGCACGGTATTTGAAACGTTTAATGTTACTGCGTTTAGAACATTCAATAAATAAAGTGCCATTTCCCAGAATCGTGTGAAATAAAAACCATAGCAACAGCGGAGAATTTTAAAGACACAACAGAGACACGACAAAGAAACGAAAATTGTCAAAACTTCCAGACAACAGTGAACCACATTTTTGCGACCGAGGACATCAAAAACATTGTATTTTCTAACATTTTTCAAGCTCCATCTGTGCATTTGTGCTTGGCAAAAATAACGTTGAATATTCTTTTAAGTGTCTGAGAGTTCCTTCTTCAGAGGTACACAACGGTCTCCTCTTTGGGCTCCTCTCCGCTGCTGTCGGCGGCGGCGGAAAACAACTGTAAAGAGTCAGTGTGATGTGAAAGCGTGAAGCAAGAGTCCGCCGCCGTGGGCCAAGCCTCTCTGATGTAGCCGTCTCTGTGATCTGTCGGGGGAAGAGGAACCAGAGGAGAACAGGCGTCATGAAATGTGTCCACGATCTAGATCATTGATATGAATCCTAAAACAGATGTGACAAAGTACGGGTATATAATATAAGAATCATCAAATACAGTATGTTTTAAGACAGGTTTTTGATAATTCAGTTGAATGTATTCTTGTATGGGTCAAAGTCACAACAGTAGTTATCTTGGAGAACTTTACAAAACCGTAATTTTCTCCAACAGAGAATCAATCAGTTCAAACACATGAAAATGCGATGATAAAACACACATAGAGCCATTGGCCATTAGAAAGTAAGTAAGTAATCTTTATTTAAATAGGACTTTATAACGTTGAGAAATCATATGGAATATGACATCAAATATAATGCCAGAAAGAGTGTCATAATGATTTGCCGGACAACAGATGATGAAATCTTAAAGTTTTCCCAATTCAAAATGTGTGGAAATAATCTGATATTGAGTAGCAAATACTAGCAGGTTTGGTGCATGTACAGATGAAGTGAAAAAGATACTTTTTAAAGCTTATTGTACTTTGTTATACACGGCACATCTGTGGTCGAACTATAGACAATCGAGCATACAGAAGCTAAATGTGGCGTAAAATGACTGCCTAAGAATCCTGTTGAAAAGGCCTCAGTGGGAGAGTGCCAGCCAATTATTTGCTTCTTCTGGGATTCTCTGGGATAGTCTCTCCATGGCCTCGCACCGAAATATATTAGTGACATGTTTGTGCCAAATGAACCGGCCCGGACTCTGAGGAGCACAGGGACTGGACTCCTGTTAGTGCCCAGAGTCGGTACTAGACATGGGGAAACTGCATTTCAGATTCATGCAGCTAGAGTCTGGAACCGTCTTCCTGAGAATATGAGACAGACGTCTACTCTGGCAGTTTTTAAAGTTTCTAGGATGAAAACAATTCTGTTTAGCTGTGCATACAACTGAATGATTTTATCTTTTTATCTTTGTTTTTATCTTTAATCTTTTTAATGCACTGTGACTATTTATGATTTTAATCCCATCTGTTATTTTAATGTTTTAAAGTTTTTAACTTGTGTGATTTTATTTTTAATGTTTTTAATATATCTTTTGCTCTTAATGTGTTTGATTTACGCATGATGTGATATGGGATGTGAGGCGCTTTGCGTTGCCTTGTGTAGGAAAAGCGCTCTACAAATAAACGTTGATTGATTGATTCAAACTTTTTGTGCTGTCCAAAGAAACCTGATGTACAGATTTATTTGTCGACTGAATCAATGTCAGAATGTGATCATAATGAGCCTGACCAACATCAGAATCAGTTAACTGTGGCGTCACTGGTACAGTAGTCAACTGTAATTATGTATGCTTATTTTTTGATTATTATTGTTTTTGTGTAATGTCTGTAATAAAGTTTAATAACATTGTTCCATTCTCTCCACACGGTGATGACGCCAAACACACTGCCCCCCAACCAACACCATCCATTCACTCCCTCACCACATTCATACCTAGTGTACATGCTTTTAGTGGTAGGGGAAACCTGAGGACCCAGAGTAAACCTACGCAGACACGGGCAGAACATGCAAACTCCACTCAGAAAGGCCCTGTTCTGACCGGGATTCGAACCCAGGACCATAAGGAGCAGACAACCAATGTCCATAAATGTTGAAAAAGTCCATAAATGTTGAATGTGGAGTGTCCTGGATCATCACCTCTGTCCTTATACCTTCCTGTATCTGTGAGGAACAAGTCTAAAAACCCAGTGGGAGGAAAGTGAGAAACCTCTGGGCGGCTTTTATCATTGGTATCTATGCCAAATGTGACATGTACATTTCTCCATTGTGAGTTCAACAAAAGTGTATTTTATCTTATCTTATTTAATACAAGCCATATGGGAATCTGCCGATATCTTTTCAAAGTCTTCAGGGAGCTTTTCTTATGTAAAAACAAAAGTTCAACAATTGCCAGACAACAGTATCATACAAGGACATTCTGGTTTCTCATCTGTCTCGGAGATCACATGAAAAATGCACTGCACATACATTCATACATGAGAAGACAATCCTCACATGCATGAGTAGAAGTATGCAGAGGTCACATCCTGATTCTGCTTTTACTGCAGCACAATGGAGGATTTGTATTTGAAAAGAAATTCCTTTTGAGGCTAAACAAGAGGTTCTGTATCTTAGAATGTAGTGGGAGCGGACGATTGGGCTGATGTCACTTTTAAGTTTGTCTTTCTCCAGAAGAAGACTGTTGGAGCGAACTCAAACAGGCTTAAATGCTGCAATCAGGACTGGTGCTGGTCTATTGCTGCTCTAGCTAAAGCCGATTTCGGGGACAGAGGGGGCACCTGATTGGTCAGTTTTTTAGGGAGCGTATCTGAATTCACAAATAAATATGAATATAAAAACACCAGGATCATACAAAGCATTAAACCACAGACTTTTAACCCTGTTGTGTTGCAGATTTTACAATTTAATTTCTTCTTTCCTTACTACTCCACATCCATCTATTTTTGACCTGTTTTTACTCAGAAGTACCACTGTTAGACTGAGCTTTAGCTACACACAGTTTTCCACCTGCTCACCAGGGGGCGGAGCTGTCACACTTCCAAAATGTCAGTCTCCTTGGTTTCACCGCAATAGATTTTCTAGGCATCAATTTAAAGTCAGTATTACTACCAACCTCTAATAAGTTGAAACCAAAACTGCATAAAATAAAAGATGAATATGTAAAAAATAAGATAAGAAAAGAACTTTATTGAGCTCACACTGGAGATTGTGCAAAAAGACAGAAGTGTGCAACATGTTAAGGTAAAAAATATGCTCTGTGCAGGATATGCTTTTTGTACAATAAAAAGTGGCAATAGCAGTGCTGGTTCTTCAGTCCTATTGCAGGTCATTAGAGACTTAAAGTGACAGTAAATAACAACTAGTAGAATATATCTCCTCTGGGTTTTTCCCCGGGTCAGCTCTAATTACCACAGCAGGCCAATGTTGCAAATCTGCAACATCCCAGAATGCATTGCCTGTGAAGGACTCTCTCAAAAAGAAAAGTCAGGATTGTTAATTACTACCCAATTTGATAATTTTATATTTTTCCTGTCATTCAAATGTAATTGGGCCCTGAGAGGGTTAAGACCAAAATAGTGAGTGTGACACAAACAGTTGCAGAAAAAGAGGTTAGCCATGCTTAGCTAGTGAGTTAGCAGTGTCCAGTGTCTTATATGCAGCCAATACTTGCTGTTTTCAGTGACCAACGAAATATGTTTAGGTCAAACCAATAACATTTCACAGAATTACTTTACAGTACAATATGTATTATAAATGTATTATTCTTATTATTTTAAATATGGGCCATTTGAATGCAAATCTAAAACAAAGAAAAAATAATAAAATAATATCTATTCTTGGTCAATTGTGTGTCTGGGTAAAGAAAACACTGACCTCAGCCTCATGTTCGACCCTGGCTACTTATCGGCTGTCTTGAATTTCACTGTGTGTATTGAACAACGAGGAAAGGTTAATAATATGGTCGATGACACCAGAGATAACGCTCTCTCCTATCATTAGTAAACACAAACTACAGCTGCGGCCAACAAACATGTGGAGCACAAGACAAACTGGACGTGAACGCAGCTTGATTCGAGTCTGAATCATTTACACCCTGCCCTTAAATAACACGACTCATTAAAAGGCTGTAATGAGTTTTGTAAAGATTTTTTAAAGATCGATGTCTGTATCGGTCAATCATTCCCTGTGAACTGTGATCCGCGTGCCGTTGTCTGCCCTGTCAGTCCACAGATAGAGAAGAAACATTGATTTCTTTGCTGTCGCGGGCATCAGCTCAGGTCGGGGGGATGATGTTTGTGAGAATGACATTAGACACTGATTAACTATCGGCTCACATCATACCGGCCTCGGCTTGTTTGTTATTCTCACAGGTAACGGTAGGAATTAGTGTTGGAAAATTAGGTCCAGGCGGGTATTAGGATTGACCGAGATGTATACAAGATAATGCTGCTCTATAATATAGTCTAAAGTAAGTTAGTGATGTTATAAACTTGACTTGTTGACCAAAAACAAATGTAAAGCTGATTAACTTGTGTTGTTATCTTGTGTTTTGATTCTGTAGCTTAGGTCCTGGATCTATAACCCATCAGTCCATGTTAAGCGGATCTCTCTCTCAATGTGGATCTCCCTGAGGTTTCTCACTTTTCTCCCACTGGGTTTTTGAGAGTTTTTCCTTGCCGATGTCTGTTGGGCAGTTAGTGTCCAACAAAAAGGACTGTGGTGATGATCCAGGACACTTTAACCTTCTACAACATGTATGGACATTTATCAACATTCATGGACATCAATACATATGTGTTCAATATTTTTTATCTTAACTGTTGATTCTCTGTTGTGATTTAGGGCTATACAAGAATAAATTGTATTGTATTGTACTGTACTTTATGGACTATTAAGCGCACCTGTATACAGCATAAGCCACACCAACTACAGTTTTAAAAGAAAGTACATTTTGTCCACATATAGGCTTCACTTGATTATATGCCGCAGGTTTTCATGTTGAAATGTATCAGATAGTAAATTGTTTTAACTGGTCAGAACATCATTTAATGATGAGGTGTTTCTCAGGTGGATCATCAAGACTATTGGTTCTCCTAATTGTCAATAATTCTGGTGATATGTTCGTCAAACAAGACCAGAGTGTTTTTGGGAGATTATTTCACACGATGGCAGCGCTGAAAGCCCAGGTTGGGCTTCTCACTGTTGGCCCGTACACACCACAAGAGCAGAGAGTGACGCACACCTCTCCTCAGCAGAGCGGGCTCACGTCATGCGGCTGTATCCACACCGGCTACTGCTGCTCTCACTGATGCTTCAGTCGCAAAGTTTCTACTCGACAGGTTAAGTTTGGCTTCTATTTGGAGAAATCAAGTTCAAATACTTCCAGAAAAAGTTATCTACATGGAGAAGGCAGTTCTTTCCTAAAATTTGGGAATTCCTATATACCTTTAACCGTTAGCTTCCATGACTCATTCACTCCTTTGGGGGATCAATAAAGTGTCTATCCATCTATTTCTTGCCCACAATCGTAAACCGCTTTGTGACTCTGGTCTGTGAAAGGCGGTATATAAATAAAGATTACTTACTAATTACTTACTAGTGTATTTCCACAATAGTCCTGTAGCTACTAAAACTTGATAAAAAAATTATAAATCCATTATACTCTGACAACAAAATGATTGAGCAAATGCGCAAACCACGGTGGCAGCAAGTCTGAGAAGTCCAGAATTTCTCCTTTGGGGGATCAATAAAGTGTCTATCCATCTATTTCTTACCGCTGGGTATTGGCTTGTTCTCCAGACCTCCTGTTGGGGAGCTGAAGTATCCGGGGCCCATCACCCAGCCCGGGCCGGACTCGGGGTGTGGTGTGCTCGGAGCGCTGGGGTGCCGTCTGCTGTTGGATCGAGCCAGCAGGACGTTCAGACAGTTATGGGTAGAGGGGTCGTTTTCTCTGTGGTTGGCATGACGATTGTTGATGCCAGAATTGGCCGCATTGACAAATACAGAGCTTTCATCGTCAGGGTCTGCAGACTGAGGAAACAAACAAACAGTTCCTGGAGTTAAATCAGAGGGAAATGGAAAGGGTGGAGGTGGATTTGTCACATACTGTATATTTGTAAGGAATCTATTTGTACATCATAATTAAACAATAAGAATAAGTTAGATACATAGATACTTTGGGCACACTTTAGTTTAGCCCTCACACATTACCAGTGAATTAAGTGCTAATTTGTGTATAATTAATGGTTAATTTTCTATGAATTGGTATTAATTAAGCACTTGTTAGTCCTTATTTAACATCTAACAAACTACTAAATTACACTTTCCCATGTGGGGTAGGGATAGGGCTAGGTCTAGGGTACAATAATTATCACATAATTAGTGAGGGCTAATCTTAAGTGTTACTGATACTTTTTGTATTTGTCTGTGTCTTGTGGTGTCTTTGTGTTATCTTTTCAATGGACCTTGAGTCTGAAATAAAGATTTATTATCATTATCATTAAAACATCTAGAGAGATATCTTAAACTTTGATTCTGGAGACAGTGATTTTGTTTTATTTTGATCAGTATAGCTATTGTTCACTGATCTTGTGCTGTGTGCTCCTCTTTCCTACTGTTCTAGAACTTGTGATGCAACACTGACATTTGCCCACTGTGTAACAAAGAAAAGATCTCTTAATCTTAATCTATTACTTTATTGATCCCTGTAGGAGAAAGGCAGCAGCAGAAACACATCCTTCCACACAGACAAATAAATGCTGTACATAATTCTAAAAGTTACTTATAGTCTCTGCACCAGGACCCCCCAGTTCTCTGACCTAAAGTTCACCTCGATGTGGCCTTTCCTGCAATGAGCTGAGAGTGCACAGCAAATTAACATAGACCAGTGTGTGTGTGTGTGTGTGCGCGTGCGTGCGTGTGTGTGTGTCTGTGCATGTCATTCGATCTGTCTCTGACCCTGTGAACTAAAGCCTGGGGCAACAACAGTAGATGTAGAGCACTAGGACCTTAAATGCCTCCGAAACCCTTTGTTAGACAACACTGCTCTTGAAATACAAGAGATGAGAATGTTCTAGAAACAGATCACCTGCACGTTAGCACTGTTTATTTTTGTAATGTACCGGCAATATATCTCCCCTTTGACCATAACATGTATGTAGAAGTAAGCATTAAAAGTATTTTTTGAACGTCGATCTACTCCTTTTAAGCAATAAATGTTTAATGTATTGCAAATAAATACATTAACAAACAAACAAACAGTATCATTTCTTGTTGTAGCTGCAGGGAAACTTTATAGTGGTGCACTTTTCAGACAAAGAGACCATTGAAGAATTTAATCGTGTATAAAAAAACACAGTTGATTGGACCTTGAGCCACATGCCTCTGGTTTCAATGATTCTACTGTGGCATTCTTTTGCACTAGTTTCAATATTATCGATCATAACAAAGTTGTGTGGAGACTGAGGTTCAGACGCACAAAGAAGAATTGTTGTTTCAAATCTCTACAAAAACGGCACTCACACTTGTTGATCTGGTTCACTTTAACTGCACCAACTCTGGTTCTGTGGTTCACTTGGGACGTGTGAACAGACTTAAATGACGTGTGGACATATGTTGACGGCTTTAGTTGTTTTACATCTGAAAAAAAGGACCCCCACATTAACCAGAACTAGTCCAGTTAGAGGAGGAGGATTTTCCCGAATTTTAGGAAAGAACCGCCCCCTCTACTTTTTGAAAAAACTCTCTGGTCTTATTTGACGAGCACGTATCACCAGAATGATCGATAATTGGGAGGACCAATAGTCTTGATGATCCACCCGGAAGTAGAAAATCCTCTTATATACTTTTAAGGTGAACCAGGCCAAGAAGTGCAAATCTACTGTAATTTACATGTTTTTAAATCATTATCAAATAGTAAAACTTCACACCAAAGAACCAATCACCCACTCACACACACATTACTACACTAGTGTACGCAGACACTGGGGTTGAGGCAGGTTAAGTGTCTTGCCCAAGGACACACAGCAGCAATTAGCAACAGGAGCTGGTTTCACACCTGCAAACCTGTGGGTCAGACAGCTCAAAGAATTATGTTTATGGTCAGGAGCAGGATTGAAACCACAAACCTTCAGCTCAGCGACACGCGGCCAAGAAACTGAACACTATCACTTATAATAATAATAATAATAATAAGCAAAACACATTAATAAGAGGCCAGAGAGCAGTGCAATAAAAACGCACTTTTAGACTGCTGAACTCTCTGCAGCTTTAGTGGACTTTAGTAAGTAAGTAATCTTTTTATATAGCGCATTCTTTAGTGTGTGTCTGAGCTTGTATTGTTGTATCGTGTTCATCTGTTTGCATGGACTCCAATTCATATCGTTTATATTATTGTTTGACATTTCCTGTTTTTTTGTATGTGTTTTTATGCCCGATGCTGACCCATGGTGGAAAAAATAAAGAAGTCTGAATCTGAATGCCCTTTTAGTGAAGCCCTTAGCTCTATACAAGTGTGTGTGACTATGTGTTATCATGTATTTCTTCAATGTTTGTGATGTTTTGTTCTTTGATCTTATGGTAATCTCCGGGTTAGCATCTCACCGAATGTGCCTCTAACGGTATGACCATGTGCGTTGTCCCGGTGTCTCGCTGGTCACGGTCTTTGCAGAGCTGAAGCCTCTTGTGTCGGTTCTCCAGGCGCTCTCGTTCTCTCTTCACACTTTTCTGGCCCTCTCTGAGCCTCTCTAAACTCTGCTGGTACTCCTCTAACTGCGCGTCCAGCTCTTCTCGCTCGCGCCGCAGTCTTTCAGCCTCTAGGTGGCACAGTCCCTCTCTCTCCTCTATCCGCCTCTCTTGCTCCAGCTGTAGGCCCTCTCTGGTCCAACAGTCTCGTTCCCAGCGCTCTTTCTCCTGCCGTAGTTGATCCTGAAGCCTCTGAGCAGTGGCCACCTCCTCTCGTCGCTTCTCCAGGTTTCTCTGTTTCTCTTGTTCCTGCAGAGTGTTTCCTCGGACGCTGGAGAAGTGAGAGCGCCGCTGGGGGCGAGGGGAAGGGCGCTCGCTCTCTGATTGTAGCAGTCTTTGGACTTCATACCAGCTGTCCTGAAGGGTCACTGCGGCCTAGCACAGAGATCACAATCAAATTCAGTTTTAAAGGTTTGATTCTTCTATAGCAGACAATAGTACGTTAGCGATGGTATTAACTTGACATGTTGCCAAATACAGTTATATGTAAATATGACGGCTGGAGTCACACTAACAGGAAAGTCCTACAACACAACGCTCTATTCAGAAGCCATAAACTGCTTTTACATTTTATTTGAATTTTAAAACTTTGGGTGGACTGTGAACTGTCCTGGTGTGTCCGGGTGTCCGTATAGGAGTCACAAAGGCTTCTATATATTTAAACAAGTATGTATTATGTGGCAGCTCCAAAATAGAATTACCTTGAGACTGTAGAGTAACTGTGTCAGGCTTAGAACACTTTGAGAAACCTGTAAAAAGAATAAAACAGGAGAAAGATTAGTAAATGTTAATCATTTGTATAATTGTTTGTACTGTCTTCTGTGTCTTCTTCCTACAGCATTTCTTTGCCTTTACCTCCCCCTAGTGGTACATTTATGTAATGTATAACTGGGGGCCTATAAAATATAAACTCTTCAGACTCATGAATAATAATTATCTCAGTGGAAATGTAGTTTGCACAGAATGTATTGAAACATTCATACAAATCTTACACCGCCAGGTATCTATAATAATACACTGTTCTTATAAAGCACTATTCATGATACCCAAAGACACTTTTTCACTCTCTCAGGTATGATGAAGTAGTACTATAAATTACTATTGTAGCCACAGCTGCATTGTGGTAGAAAAACAGAAGGAGACAACAACAGTTTGGCACTTTACAGCCGCCCAATTGTGGCACCTGGTGTCCCCAGAGGTCTCCCATCAGAGTACTAGCCAGACCCTGGCCAGTAAATCAAGAAATTCTCCTCATCTCATTAAGGAAAGTTATGATTATATGAAAGAAAGGTTCAAATAAAAGGACCTTTGAGTTCATGTCTTTTTTCTGTGTTTCCATCAAATAAAACGAGTCGGAGTCGTCTTTGGACCAAATCTTCTCTTTTGCCTCAGGATCAGTGGCAGACGAGAAGGAAACCTCCAAGTGGGAAACAGGACTGGTCTCAAAGTCTGACTCCACGCTGCCTCCTGGTGGTGAATACGTCTTTGGTGAAAGTAGCTTTTTCAACTTTTCAGCTAAAAACAAATGAAACATACAGGAGTTTACAGTTTCATACAGTTTCGTACAGTTTATCCTCAAATGAAACCTAAAGTCTTGACCACAGTGAGTCTGACCTTCTCTCAGAGCAGCACTGAGCAGAACTGTGGCCTGTGGCGGGTTCTCCTGCAGTGGAACCAGGAGTCTGGGCTCGGGTGCGTTCCCGTTCTTCACACTGACAGCCGAAAGCTCAGTGTAGAGCTGCAGCTTTTCCTCTAAACTGGAGCAAATCTGATGATCATAACTCATGAGACTTTCTGAAACAAAAAGACACCAACGATTTAGTTCATTGTTGTACGGATCGATTCAAACGTCATAGACAGAGGTGTAAAAATAAATGAACAAGTACTGTACTATTTATTAAACACCCACTCATAGCTATATGTGGGTGGAGTGAAAAAAATAACTTCAATGCGAAGGCAAAGTTGAGTTGTAAGTTTGTGTTTTTTGTATTTGTAAGTGTTAAACTTCAGTCTTTTCGGTCTCTACAAAGCTATGGTTTTTGTTGTTCTTTCTGTTTGTTGACCAAAAAAATAGAGTAATAGAGTAATAACGACTAGTACACATGCAGATGAGAGAAACTTATGGTATAACACCACCCCCTTCTACAACTCTGTCTTTACAATTCCATTCAAATATCTGTGAGGAATTTCATTTGCAGACTGAGCATTAAGCACCAGAAGGAATCCATGAAAACACCCAAATTAGAATTCCTTTTTTATTCCTTTTAAAGCATGTATTTTATTCTTTTTTGGATTGTCGAAGATGTACCCCTAACCCTAAACCTAACCCTTTAAAAATGTGTTTTTATTAACCCATATTTTTTTTTATTATAGGTCTTTACCTAAGGGTTGAGATCCCCCAAAGAGAAATAATTCAGTTGCAAGCTTAAAGTAGATATATTGACTCAAAAGGTGATCTTCCAAATGATCCATCCATCTTCCATCTTCTTCCCTTTAATCCATTTCTGGGTCAGGGGGGTGGCAATGAGAGATGCCACCCAAGTCTCATAGCACCAGCCCCTATCTTCCAAATGATTCAAAATAAAATATCAAACCTTGCAACCGATGGATCTTTTGTATACGAGCATCGGCCGCTCGTTTCTCCTCTTCGGACTCGCTGGTGTAGTCCTGCTCTTCCTCTGGACAGCTGTTCAAACAAACCAGGTAAATACTGACCCAGTTTTCGTGTCCGTTATGTATAATTCATGATATTTCTTCCTACTTCTCCACCGCCTCCCGGATCAGCCTCATCCAGGTGTTGCGTTCGTCTTTGGAGCTGGTGTGCACCTCGTACATCTCGGGTCCCGCGGAGGAGGCGCTGATCAGGAACATCCCTCTCTCCTCATTGGCCACTTCTCGCACTATTAGTTTCTGCAGTGCTATGACTGCGGGTTTCTGGTCCTTTGGAACGCACATGTTAAACTTTAAGCTAACAAGATGTACGATTTTCATGTCAAATTATTAATCTGTCTGTCAAAAGGCATCAATAAGCCTGCTCTTTTTGAATACTTCTTTAACAATAACAATATTTCAGCTGAGATACTTGAATTTTAAAATTAGTTTTATAACCCCTATATCTTGTTTGTTTTTATTTCGATGTCCCGCCCTGCACCGTTTCACCAATCAGAAAGTTTGTGATCCGAGTTGCCAGAACTCACTGCATTGAGCTAATCTCACCGGTAAAGTACCATCTGGCCGCAGAGCTAAAATAGGTCTTGTTATGATTCTCAAACCATTAATAACAAAACAAGGATTAAGACAAGGATTTCTATTGGGGCCTTTGTGAAAAAGGGGTTGGTTATGAATTTGTTGTTAACCAAACTCTTGTCTATTCAGATATGATGGTCCCAGCTTGTATACCTGGCAGCTTGAGTCAGGGAGAGTGGGAGAGGTTGCAGTACCACTTTTGGCCAGATTTTTATATACTTCTTTAAATTAAAAATCATCCTTATAGTTTGTCGTGGAGGATGCAATGATCTTACCACAGCGGCAAAGACAAACTTCTGATCTTTCTCTTGTAGGAAGATTAATGTGTCTGTTAGAAGAAGGGCCAAGACATCTGCGGGAAATAGAAGCAAAACATAACTTAGATAATCAAGCAACATAAGATAAAACTATGGAGAAATGTACATGTTACAATTGGCATAAATAGGATCACTCAGGGTGCGCAAAAAGATAGAAAAACTGCGGCTGATAATGTAGGGCTTAAAAAATACTGAGTTTAATATGATTGAAAGAAAAACTCCTTGCTGGACTATCAAGCGCACCTGTATAAGAAAATCAATCTGTTTTCTGAGTTATAAAAGTAACTCTTCAATCAGAAAAATGCAATTTAAAATTAAAATATTTAAAACATTTCTTTTATTCTAATACAGTGGTGTCACACTCATTCTGGTCAGGGGCCGAAAAAAGAAGGGATTTTCTTGACTTATAATTTTTTTTCTTTTTACATTATGAAGGTATTTTGACATTTTTCTAACAATACCATGTGTTTATTGTTTAGATTCAAGAAAAACTGGACCAGATATAAAGTTCAACACATTGTTCTATATTTAAAGGTACTCTGTGTGATTTTTACAGTTGCTCCAAATGAAAAAACATGTTAACCAAAAACAAATGTGACCTTTTTAAGAATATTTACCTATATAACCTATTATAACATGCCTCGGTCGCCCATAACCATCAATGCAGCAAGTTAATATAAATAATAACTGAAAATAATTTTAGGGGCCACTGAAAACTGTCTTGCGGACCGAGTTTGGCCCTTGAGCCTGAGTTTGACATGCCTGTTCTCACGTGTGTCTCACCTTTGAGTCGTCCCGTGGCAGACTTCCAGAGCAGCACCCCCTCATGCGTGAGCTTCTGTCCGGGCCTCATCATGTCCTGTTTGCGGAAAGTGTGTCCGTTCTTGAGTTTAGCGGCGCTGCGGTTCTCCATGCGCGTCCACACTTCCTGCAGCCTCTGGTGGCGTTCATGGTTACAAACCGTGAGATCCACTTCTGCTATCACTTCTCGGATCAGAGCCAGGGCTTTGGAGAGGTCAGCGTGTTCCTCGGAGTCCGCTGAGAGAGAGAAGAGAGTGAGGACTGTGTGGCGTGGCCAGTAGGGGGCAGCAGTGGACCTACCTAGAGTGTACTGCAGGATCCTCTCCAGCAGAACGGGGTACTTTGTAATCCTCTGCGTTACTAGCAAGATGCACTCTGGGATCTCCCTTCTCCGAACCAGGTAATTATTTCCTTGTTGCTGGAAAAACAAACCATGACAACAACAAATGAACAACAACGTGACACACAATTTGTCCACTTTAAAGCAAGCTGCTGAATTGCACCTTGATGAAGTTTTGAAATTTCTTGTTATTTAGTTGAAGTTGTTTGAAAAATCCCACTGCTTCCATGTGATGACTGCAGAATTCTCCATAAAGACGAGCCATTCGCTTTCCATTCTCGTCTGAAAACTGTAACAAATAAAAAGCATATTAGACATTTGTACATCATTGAATCCTGCACAGACTATATTTTTAACATGTTACACACTTCTGTCTTTTTGCACAATCTTAGTGATCCACACTCTCCTCTGTCCATGATGCTTTTAACTTTGTATTTTAACTGTATTTTAATAGCCTGGTCGTACCATACCACATGCAGGGGATGATAATTGAGCGTGTGTGTGTATGGATGACTAGGGCCAGGCTAGTATTTTAACTATATTTTAACTGTTTTCAAAATTCACTTTTTTACTTGTATGTAAGGCGACCTTCAGTGTCAGGAAAGGTGCCTAAGAAATAAAATGTATTATTATTATTAATGTGACATGTAAATATCTCCATTGTGAGATCAATAAAGTTTATCTTATCTTATCATCTATGGTCATTTCTTCACGTTTACGGTCACCCCGCTCCTTATGGACCAATGGCTCTTATGTGTTTGTCGTTATTTTATTAATTTTATTAGTTCATTTGACCGAGACATTGTGCATTAATAAACATTTCTGTAAATGCACCAGAATAAGTGAAGTAGGCTATTTTCCATCTGTGTTTCCTGTTTTTGAATCGTTTGACCCTTTGAACTTTGTAAAGTGCTCCGAGACGGCCGCTGTTGGGATTTAGGGCTGTACAAAAAAATAAATTGAAATGTCTAAGGACAGACCGGGACATTTATAGACATTGGTCGTCCCGCTCCCTGGACCAATGTGTTCAAAAAGGTTGATTTTGTCTTGAGTTTAAATGTTTTTTTGTGGTTCTTTGAAAGACAAAAAAAAAAAATGGCTTCTACATGTAAGTGTTTGTTATTATTGCATTTCCTGTGTTCAAAATGTCTTCTCTGATTCTCTCATCTGTTGTTAAGGAATCGACAATGTTTGTAAAGTCCTCCGAGAAGAGAGTGCTGATGAGATTTAGGGCTATACAAAAGTAAGCACGTAATCTTTATTTATATAGCGCATTATTACAGACCAAGATCAACCAAAGCACTTTACGGATATAGTTCCATTCTCTCCACACGGTGATGATAGAAGCGAGACGCCGAACACACTGGACCATCAAAGCCTCCGACCAAACACCCTCCGTTCACTCACTCGTTGCATTCATACCTATTGTGCATGTTTTTTAGTGGTAGAGAAAACCGGAGCACCTGGAGGAAACCTACCCAGACACGGAGAAAACATGGAATCTCCACACAGAATGAATGGATGAATGTAAAAAAAATACTGTTTTTTACAATCATCCATCCTATTTTTTTTTGTTTTAGTATTTTTCTTTGGTGTCGTTGTCCCTTTTGTCCTTACTTTGGGTTTTTTGTTATGCTCATGGGTCTGTTTGTCTGATTTTTATTGACCTTAAATAAAAAATATAAAAAATAAAAAACTCCACTCAGAAAGACACTGTTCTAACACTCAGCCACCGTGCCACCAAGTGAGAAAGTAAATTGAATTGAAAACAATGAAATAAGTGTCAAACAGTTTCCTGACTCCCACCTGCTGCAGGAGCACGTCTCCGATCTGCTGGATGAGGTAGTGGTTCTGTCCCGGTGACTGTGGGTTCTGTCCCGGTGACTGTGAGTTCTGCCGCCGCTCCTTCAGGGCAGAGAAGAAGCCGTGATGCAGCAGCAGCAGTTGGTCCAAACACGGGAAGAGTCTCTCCAGCGCCTCGGCGTCCAGCTGCACCTCCTCCTTCACTCCTCTCCTGAACACCTCGGCCATCACATGCAGCGTCTGCAGGTGGTGGATCTCTGTCTGCATCAGCTCTGTCACACACACACACACACACACTGTCACATACTGTACACTGCAAAAAGTCATGAAAAATTGCTCAAATGTATCAAAATGTTTCTGATTTTGAGCACATTTCAACTGCCTTAAAACAATTTACCAATGGGACAATAATCAAAATGATCTTGTTTTAAAACGATACAAGAAATGTCTCCCTTTGAATGAGGAAATAAAACAATAGTTCTGGCTTTGTCCCATTGGCAAATCATGTTTTAAGACAGTCAGAATGTAGTCAAATTTAGACAAAAACCACTCGATTCAAGCTAATATTACTTCATATCTTATCACTTTTTGCAGTGTATGTGTGTAAGTAGGTTTGTATGTGTGTGTATATGGGTACTTATGTTTGTATGTATAACACAGTAAAGCAAAATACATGCCCATATACTGTTTTTATTGCACCTCACCCATGTTTAATGCACCTCGAACACAAAATAATCCCATTCCAAAGGGAAGACTTGGATGCACATAGAGTCTAGTCTAGTCTAGCCTAGAGTCTACATGTAGTTCTCTCTGCAACTCTGCATTGGCTTCATTTTAGTCATGGCAGCCACCATTCCTCATCAGATACATACACTTGTGATCACACACACACACACAGACATTTCACCCACATAAAGAGCACACACACACACACACATGCACACACACACACACACACACACACACACACACACACACACAAACACACCTCAATGTTCCCTTCTTTCCTGCTCCTCCTGTGTCTTAGTTGCTTATTGTATTTGGTTATGTTGTCATATGTTTGTTTCTCTTTTTTGTATTATTGAATAAAACTTTAATAAGAAAAAAAACTCCTCTTCTTACCGTAGATGACGTCCTGTCGCTTCACACACTTTTTGTCCTGTTTCTTACAGAACCTGTGATCCACTGATGAGCTCCATGACTCTGCCTCGTACTGCGCCGCATCCAACAGGATGTCCTTAAAAATATAAGCGTCTACACAATCTAGAGAGAGAGAGAGAGAGTGTGAGAGAGAGAGAGAGAGAAAAAGAGAGAGAGACAGAAAGAGAGAGAAAGAGAGAGAGAGAAAGAGAGAGAGAGAGAAAGAGAGAGACAACAACAGACAGAGAGAGAGAGAGAGAGAGAGACAGGGACAGAGAGAGAGAGAAACAGAGACAGACAGATAGAGAGAGAGACAGAGAGAGAAAGGGAGAGAGAGAGACAGACAAAGACGGAGAGACAGAGACAGAGAGAGAGAGCGAGAGAGATAGACAGAGACAGAGAGAGAGAGACAGAAACAGAGACAGAGAGAGAAAGACAGAAAGAAAAAGACAGAGACAGACCGCGAGAGAGACAGAGAGTGACAGAGACAGACGAGAGAGAGAGAGATGGTTTAACAGAGTTCAACAGATATTAGCTAAACTTAGGACTTGCCATTTGCAGTAAAACCACATTGGAAAAACTGTGCAAGACTACCTCAGTGTAACCCTCTATGTTTATTCCATATGTATTTGGATGGGTTTTTTATTGAATTTTTGTTCTTAGCATATTGAGGTTTCATGGAAATGTACGGAGCATTATAAATAAAAAGTATTATCAAACATTTCCTCACTCATTATCTACGTGACTGAGCAACAATAGAAAGACAGAAAAGAGCTCACTACCTTCAGACAAAAAGTCACTCGTGGACCCGGGCGTTGTCGCAGGCTCTTCTGTCGAGCTGGTGGCTTTAGAATAATCCGATTCTGATTCTGAGAGTTCATTTTCGAGTCTAAAGATAAAGATCGAGTCAAAGATACATTCATGAGTTTGTTTCACTTTCATAGAGGGTCCGAGCGTCATGTTTACCTTTCAGGACTTCTCAAAAAGGGGCCCGGCTGTGGTCCAATGTCTCTGTTATCGTCCAGTGTCACAGCAGGTAAACAAGAGGGAGACGGGAAGAACTGAGGAGGACTTTCTCGAACTGTAAAATCTGAAAACAATAACTTTGATGGGACAAAGCCATTTTGTCTTCTTTGAAGAATGTTTGCTTCATATTCACATTCTACACTGCAAAAAGTGACAAAATATAAGTTAACGAATGCTTGAATCACGTCTTCTTTTATCTTAATTTGAGTTTATTTTGACTTTCTTAAAACAAGTGTCTTTTATTTACTATACTAATAGTATTTTATAAGACACTGATTGGGAGCTACATAGCTGTGTGGATTATTTTCACTGTTTTTACGTTTCACAGTTTTTTAATCCAGTACGCTAGCCCAGACTACAGGGATGTGCGATCTTATTTGAAACAAGATTTGCCAATGGAACAAGGCATTTGGTCTTTTTTCAAGTGCTGTTGCGATGTTTGTATCTTTCCAAAGGAGGCATTTCCTGATTTGTCTTGAATTGTTTTAAAACAAGACGTTTTTGCTTGTCCCAAAGGCAAATCTTGTTTTTAGATTGTAAAAATGTGCACAAATTAAGATAAAACCACTTGATTCAGGCATTTATTACCTCATATTTTATAATTTTTTGCAGTGTAAGGGAGATATCTCTTGTGTCTTTTAAAAACAAGATCATTTTTGCTTGTCCCATCGGCAAATCTTTTTGTGAGGCAGTTAAAATGTGCTCAATGTATGTAACAATTGGCAAATTTTGAGCAAATTTTGACTTATTTTTCAAGACTTTTTGCAATGTATCTACTAAAACTATTTCTAAATGTCAAGTTAGAGCAACACAATCCAATCCACAATCCACATTTTCTAAAACAAGTTTCTAAAGTGCTGCAAAGAGGCAAAAGTAACACATGTAAAAAATCTGCCACATTTATGCTACAAAAATAGAAGTAACATTATAACATTAATTTAAAAAAACTATTAAAAATCAATAAAAACATACCAATTATATATATATAAATGAAAGCGGAAGAACAATGTAATAACAATGGAACAAAACCAAACGAACATAACAGAAAATGAAACAAAAAGTCCAAAAATCCCTTATTGTGTAAGATGTCTTTGTGTGGACTCACTCTGTGGGAGCGATGCCGTCTTGTTCTTAATCATGGGAACAGCATATTTACTCTGAAAAGTCTAAGCAATAGAAATGACAGAAGTGTTTAGGTATTTATTTATAAACCACACAGACAGAGATGTCACAGCACAAAAAGGTAAATCACTTTGGAGACAAGAAGAAACAGACTGACCTTTAGACACGGCGGGATCGACTCCTTACAGCTTTTATGAACAATAGCCGTGCAAACTGAAACACATGGATAGAAGTAAGATTTAAGCACAAATAAGGACAGATTTTCAGTGTTTTTGTCTGTTTTTTAGGGTGAAAATCACAAAAGTATAAGAATATTATAAGATTAAAGAGATCCTTTATTCGTCCCACAGTGAGGAAATTTCAGTGTTGCATCACGAGTTAAAGAACAGTAGGAATGAGGAGCGCACAACACAAGACAAGTGAACATTAGAATCAGAGATAGAGATTTTTTAAGTATCACATTTTGCTGTACTTAAAGGTATTTTTGAACTAAACTCTTTGGTCTTATTAGAGGAGCACTAGAATGATTGACAGTTGGGAGGACCAATAGTCTCCATGATCCACCCGGAAGTCTAAATCCTCCAATATGCCTTTAAGTATAGCAAAATGTGATACTTTAAAAATCTCTTATCTTTGGGTCGGTTTAATGAAGAAGAAAGTATAGAGTACAGTGCCAAAAATTATTCTTGAATTGAGTGGTTTTCATTTTTATTTGAGTAAATGTTTACAATGGGACAAAAGCTTATTTCAAGAACTGTTGATTTATTTTGTTGAGATCTATCTTGTTGATATTTATTTTGTTGATATTTATTTTGTTGATATTTATTTCGTTGACATTTATTTTGTTGATATTTATTTTGTTGATATTTATTTTGTTGATATTTATTTTGTTGATATTTATTTGAGATTAATTTTGTTTAGATTAATTTTGTTGAGATATTTCTTGTATATTTCTAAAACAAGATAATTTTGCCTTGTCCCATTGGCAGTCAAAACTTACTCAAACTAAAATACATTTAGCCAAATTTGAGCAATTTTTGACTTATTTTTCACCACTTTTTGCATCTATACTTGTATCTGCAGATCAATCATTAATAATACAGTCTAGTGCACGATTATCAGGGTCATAATGTCATTAGCTCTGAGGATTCACACATGTTAGCAGAAATATCATTGAAAGTTACCAGAGCAGTGGAAAAAGTCCTTTCCGGTGGCTGGTTTGTCACACACCACACACACGATGGGCCCCAAACACGCGCCGGTGGAGAAGCGATGTCCATTCAGCTGCCTGTGCTTGGCCTCTCTGTCCTTTTTGCCCTTTAAAAACCATGCCATAAGTGTTAGATGGTACGTATAAGACCACTCAGAGAAGAAACAGCGTGTAAGTGACACTTTGGCAATCCGCTATAAAGCAGAAGTGATCTTTGTCTAGTTTCTATTCGCAAAGTAAACATGCTTCCATTTAAGGGTATACTGAGTGTGAGGATTCCCCGTCGTTCTGGGCAAAAACACAGCTTTCCATTGAAGGTTGAGCTACCAGCACCAAGATTAATGATTAAAAGGAACACTAACATTCTGACCTAAAAAAAAAACATGTTTTCTGGGATAGCTAAAATACCGATAAGTCGGACGTCACGCATAGGATCTCACTAAAGGAATCTCCCTTCCTCTCTACACATGTATAATCATTTATGGACGTTGGTCATCCTGCTCCCTACACTGCAAAAAATGATAAGAGGTAATAATTGCTTGAATCGAGTGGTTTTTAGTTCAATTTGGGCACATTCTGGCTGTCTTAAAACAGCCGGTGGCTGAGTGGATAGCACTCTCGCCTCTCAGCAAGAAGGTCCTGGATTCGAATCCTGGTCGAATCCTGTCTGCGTAGGTTTCCTCCGGGTACTCCGGTTTCCCCTACCACTAAAAATATGTACAATAGTTCTGGCATGAGCCTAATGTACTGGCGACCCCGCTCCCATCTCTGTGTGGAGTGAGACTAATGCCCAAAATTAACAATTATAAACCGCTTTGAGACTCAAATCTGCAGTGAAAAGGCGGTATATAAATAAAGATTACTACTTACTTACTTAAAACAAGATTGCTCAAAGGGACAAAGCCATTTAGTCTTATTTCAAGAACGGTTGCTTTATTTTCTCATTTTCTCAGTGAACAGTGCTACTCCCTGACCCAGGAATGGATTAAGGGATAGAAAATAGATGGATGGGCATTTCTTGTATCTTTTTAAAACAAAATAATTTAGCTTGTACCATTGGCAAATCTTGTTTTAAGGCAGTCCAAATGTGCTCAAATGAAGATGTATTTTGCCAAATTAGAGACATTTTTGACTATTTTTGAATCACTTTTCAGATTCAGATTCAGATTCAGATTCAGTTTATTTGCCATTTGCAGTAAAAAAACCACATTGGAATACATTAGCGAAAAGTCTCCAGTGTGCACAGACAAATACAGACATAAAACAACATTAAAAGACAAAAATAAAACAAATTAAAGCCGCAAGCGGCGTCGAACGGCCCTCGCCGCACCGCGCAACTCCCTCCACCGCGCGCACTCCCCGCACCACGCCGCCCCGCACCACGCCGCCCCGCACCAAGCCGCCCTGCACCATGCCGTCCCGCACCACGCCGCCCCGCACCAAGCCGCAACGCGCCGCTCCACAACGCCCCGCACTACGCCGCACCACACCGTACCACGCAGCACCGCTAAAAGGAGGTGGCACCGCCGTGTGATGATTTTTTTCCGTAGCCATAGAAGAATGTTAGTGAAATTGTAATGAATATGATAAGTAGAGCTGGTTTGGCTCCCCATGTAAACTTTGACACAGTCTGTAGGGGGCGCTAATGGGCCAATTTCCAATATTTCACTTTAACCTGACCTAAACCCTGGAATTGAACAATGGATTAAAGTTTTGTGCAAATCAGACTTTGTTTGTGCAAACAGGAGCAAAATTAATGTTGTCAAAAAGAGCCAAAAAAACCCTCACATTTTGCCGCTCCGCTGCTCAAACAACGTTTCACGGATCAAAATTCCCTGAAGTCATTTTGAAGGTACATGTGTTGAGATGATGTGGAGCGATTTTGAGGCGAATCGGTGAAACAGCCGAGGCTGGTTTGATGTTTGTGTGAGGTGTACATTTGCAATGAATGGGGAGCGTTTCTCGTCGCCACGGCAACAGGGTAAAAAATAACCCTTGGACCCAATTGACTTTTTGAATCAAGAGGGCAAAACAGATTTATGTGCAAAATTTCAAACATTTTGAAAAAACTAAATTTGAAAATGCCCATCTAAAACTTTGAAATAGTCTGTAGGGGGCGCTAATGTGTCAATTTGAATTAATTCACTTTCAAACGACCTAGACCCTAGAGTTGAACAATGTATTAAAGTATTGTGCAAATCAGACTTTGTTTGTGCAAACGGGAGCAAATTTAATGTTGTTAAAAACGGCCAAAAAAAGGTCACATTTTGCCGCTCCGCTGCTCAAACAATGTTTCACTGATCAAAAATCCCTGAGGTCATTTTTAAGGTATATGTGTTGAGATGATGTGGAGCAATTTTGAGGCGAATCGGTGAAACGGCCGAGGAGGAGTCGCTTTCCAACCGACATGTATGAATACTTTTGCTGTTCATTTTTCCATTTTGCAGTGAAATGTATGGGCTTCCTGTTTGTCAGAGGGCGGGGCCATAATATAATTTTTTTCTTGTCTTGACTTGAGGAACATGTGTACCGAATTTCATGACTCTACAACAAACTTGAGCTTCAGAACTCCCATAGGGGTATTATTTTGGCTGTTGTAGGTGGCGCTGTTCTGGCATGTTTTGAGTCCCATAAAAATAAACACCAAAATATCAAATTTTTCGCCAGGTCTGATTTTTGGGCAAAATTTAACAACTTTTCATGCATGTTCAGGGGGTCAAATTAAGGCTCAAAGTGCAGAAGAAAAAAGAAAGAAAGAAAGAAAGAAAGAAAGAAAGAAATAAATTAAAGCCGCAAGCGGCGTCGAACGGCCCTCGCCGCACCGCGCGACTCCCTGCACCGCGCGCACTCCCCGCACCACGCCGCCCCGCACCAAGCCGCCCCGCACCAAGCCGCCCTGCACCAAGCCGCCCTGCACCATGCCGTCCCGCACCACGCCGCCCCGCACCAAGCCGCAATGCGCCGCTCCACACCGTACCACGCAGCACCGCTAAAAGGAGGTGGCACCGCCGTGTGATGATTTGTTTCCGTAGCCATAGAAGAACTTAGTCAAATTGTAATGAATATGATAAGTAGAGCTGGTTTGGCTCCCCATGTAAACTTTGACACAGTCTGTAGGGGGCGCTAATGGGCCAATTTCCAATATTTCACTTTAACCTGACCTAAACCCTGGAATTGAACAATGGATTAAAGTTTTGTGCAAATCAGACTTTGTTTGTGCAAACAGGAGCAAAATTAATGTTGTCAAAAAGAGCAAAAAAAAACCTCACATTTTGCCGCTCCGCTGCTCAAACAACGTTTAACGGATCAAAATTCCCTGAAGTCAGTTTGAAGGTACATGTGTTGAGATGATGTGGAGCGATTTTGAGGCGAATCAGTGAAACGGCCGAGGCTGGTTTGATGTTTGTGTGAGGTGTACATTTGCAATGAATGGGGAGCGTTTCTCGTCGCCACGGCAACAGGGTAAAAAATAAGCCTTGGACCCTATTGACTTTTTGAATCAAGAGGGAAAAACGGATTCATGTGCAAAATTTCAAACATTTTGAAAAAACTAAATTTGAAAATGCCCATCTAAAACTTTGAAATAGTCTGTAGGGGGCGCTAATGTGTCAATTTGAATTAATTCACCTTCAAACGACTTAGACCGTAGAGTTGAACAATGTATTAAAGTTTTGTGCAAATCAGACTTTGTTTGTGCAAACGGGAGCAAATTTAATGTTGTCAAAAACGGCCAAAATAAGGTCACATTTTTCCGCTCCACTGCTCGAACAATGTTTCACTGATCAAAAATCCCTGAGGTCATTTTGAAGGTACATGTGTTGAGATGATGTGGAGCGATTTTGAGGCGAATCGGTGAAACGGCCGAGGAGGAGTCGCTTTCCAAGCGACATGTATGAAAATGATTGGTTTTCATGTTTCCATTTTGCAATGAAATTTATGAGCTTCCTGTTTGTCAGAGGGCTTAGCCATAATTACATTTTTTCCATGTCTTGACTTGAGGAACATGTGTACCAAATTACATGGTTCTACGGCAATTTTGACCTTGAACCCCTCCCATAGGCATTTTTAAATTGGCTGTTGTAGGTGGCGCTATAGAGCCAATTTCAAAATTTGAACTTTCAATTGACCTAGACTCAAGAGTTGAACCATGGATTCAAGTTTTGTGCCAATCACACTTTGTTTGTGCAAACGGAAAAAAATATTCTATTGTCAAAAACTGAAAAAAAAATACGCCACTTTTTGGCGCTCTGCTGCTCAAACAACGTTTCACTGATCAAAATTCCCTGAAGTCATTTTGATGGAACATATGTTGAGATGATGTGGAGCGATTTTGAGGCGAATCGGTGAAACGGCCGAGGCTGGTTTGATGTTTGTGTGAGGTGTACATTTGCAATGAATGGGGAGCGTTTGTCGTCGCCACGGCAACTGGGTTAAAAATAAGCCTTGGACCCAATTGACTTTTTGAATCAAGAGGGCAAAACAGATGTATGTGCAAAATTTCAAACATTTTGAAAAAACTAAATTTGAAAATGCCCATCTAAAACTTTGAAATAGTCTGTAGGGGGCGCTAATGTGTCAATTTGAATACATTCACTTTCAAATGACCTAGACCCTAGAGTTGAACAATGTATTAAAGTTTTGTGCAAATCAGACTTTGTATGTGCAAACGGGAGCAAATTTAATGTTGTCAAAAACGGCCAAAAAAAGGTCACATTTTGCCGCTCCGCTGCTCAAACAATGTTTCACTGATCAAAAATCCCTGAGGTCATTTTGAAGGTACATGTGTTGAGATGATGTGGAGCGATTTTGAGGCGAATCGGTGAAACGGCCGAGGAGGAGTCGCTTTCCAACCGACATGTATGAAAACTTTTGCTGTTCATTTTTCCATTTTGCAGTGAAATTTATGGGCTTCCTGTTTGTCAGAGGGCGGGGCCATAATAATATTTTTTTCTTGTCTTGACTTGAAAAACATGTGTACCAAATCTCATGTTTCTACGACAATTTTGACCTCCGAAAAGTCCCATAGGGGTATTATTTTGGCTGTTGTAGGTGGCGCTGTTCTGTCATTTTTTGAGTCCCATAAAAATAAACACCAAAATATCAAATTTTTCGCCAGGTCTGATTTTTGGGCCAAAATTAACAACTTTTCATGCATGTTCAGGGGGTCAAATTAAGGCTCAAAGTGCAGAAGAAAAAAGAAAGAAATAAATAAATAAATAAAAAAGGAATTTTTTTGTTAACGTCTCGAGCAAAAACAATATAGGTTTCAATGGCATGTGATACATCATTTTAAAGCTTTTGAGTTTACGCACGCAACTGTCACATTTTGGTGAGTGACGGGCGCTGACGCATCCGTCACGCACCGCCACCATTTGTTTTCACCATTGTGAAAGCAATAGGCCCTTACCCCGTTCGGGGCTCGGGCCTAATAAATAAATAAAAAAGGAATTTTTTTTTCGACGTCTTGAGCAAAAACAATATAGGTTTCAATGGCACATGATACATAATTTTAAAGCTTTTGAGTTTACGCACACAACCGTCACGTTTTGGTGAGTGACGGGCGCTGACGCGTCCGTCACGCACCGCCACCATTTGTTTTCACCATTGTGAAAGCAATAGGCCCTTACCCCGTTCGGGGCTCGGGCCTAATAAAACAGTAAACAAAAGTCACTGTGAAATCGAGTGAAATCGATCGACTAAAACAGTTCAAAACAAGTGCAAATCATTAAAGTGCTCTGTTCACACTGATAACAGCTTGTGGATAAAAACTGTTAGCGTAACGAGATGTCCTGCATCTCAGAGAGCGATATCTTCTGCCAGAGGGAAGAAGCTGGAACATGGCTTTCCCAGGGTGGCCAGAAGAGTCATTAACAATCCTAAGAGCTTTGTTTAAAAGTCTGGATTTATAAAGAACCTCCAGAACAGGAAGCTCACAGCCCACAGTCCTCTTTGCAGAGCGGAGCGTCTTGTTTAAATACCAAATAATTAAATATAAAAGTGTATGGACCATATATATGGTCCATACACTTTTTGCAGTGTATGGACCAACGCCTCGTATGTGTTTACCTTCTGCTCTGTCTTTAATAAACAATTATGGACAATGGTTGAGGGGTGACAGTGGCTCAGTTGGTAGAGCATTGGCCTTTGAGCCTGAAGGTCATGGGTTCGAGCCCACCACAAGACCTTCTTCACTGACTCCCACTGATGACTGCTGTCATTTTGTCTTTGGCCAAGACACTTAACCCCACTTTGCCTGAAGCCCCCACTGAAAGATCCAGGCTCCTGTGGACTCACCACCTGCAGGAGGATCAGTGAGGGGCTGGTGCTCTGTGTACTGGGTGCAGCTCTGACTGCCACCCCCGACCCAGAAATGGATTAAAGGGAAGAAAATGGATGGATGGACAATGGTCATCACTCTCTTTATGAACCAATGCCTCCTACTGTACTGTCATTATTGCATTTCTTGTGTTTGAAATGTGTGATTCTCTGATCTGCTGATGGCGAATAGACAACACGAATAGCTAAAATACACATTAGTCAACGTCAACGCTTAGGTTTGAACTGTTTAATTCTCTGATCACAACTTTGTAAAGTCGTAAGTTCAAGAGACGACAGCGGTTGTGATTTAGGTCTATACAAACACCGGTTGAATTGAAATAGATTTGAACAATAATGATTTTGGATATGAAACGTGACTGGCCTCTGCGATGTATCAGAATGTACCGGTGTGTCGTCGCGTGCAGCAGAACCTGTTACCTTGGATTTATTGCGTGTGGTGGACATTCTGCTCTTGAGGAAACTGAAAGTCCGGATCACTTTGTGTTTGTCTGACTCCACCTTCACCGGCATGTTATACTTGTCCTGCTCCTCCTCTTCAATCCTGCATGAAAATCACAGCAGCCGCTCGGAACATTGTGTACCCAAATCACATGTTAAGCTAAAACAGGATTTCATTAGTGAGGTAAACGCTCACACACACAAAGACCCACTTTAGACACAAAAAGATTGTAACTTCCTGGTGTTAGCAAATGAGGGGAAGACATGCTACACTGCAAAAAGTGATCAAATATGAGCTAGTAATTGCTTGAATTGAGATGTTTTTGTGTCAATTTGAGTACATTCTGACAAGACAAAACAAGATTTCTCAATGGGACAAAGCCATTTCATCTTATTTTCTCATTCCAAGTGAGATATTTCTTGTACCTTTTTAAAACAAACTCATTTTGCTTTGTCGCATTGGCAAATCGTGTTTATAACAGTCAGAATGTGCTCAAATTAAGACACATTGTGATACATTTGAGCTTATTTTTACTTATGTTTCATGACTTTTTGAAGTGTACAGCTTCTGTGTTAGTAAATCATTTAGTTGGAAAGTTAGAAAATGACTGATGTTAATGACATTTCGGCGAGGAATTAGAGATTAACTAGTTTTGAACCGTCACATACTCTTTGAGGAACTCGGACAGGGTGAGATGTTGTAGCGACTGAACCAGCTCAAGGCTGCACGCGTCCTCGGCAGACTGGGCACGTCTGCGAAAACTAATCTCCCTGTAAAAACACTCTGCATGTAAATGACACATGCTGTGAGGGGATGAATACTTAAGGAATTACAAGAGTCAAGACATTCCCGCGAGAAAGTATGGGTTTCAGAGAGTGTATTAGATGATGTTTTTGACAAATGGGTTACAGCACTTGCCGGACTATAAGCTGCTACTTATTTAAACTCATAAATTCATATAGTGATGCAGATAATGTGTGTATTTTTTATTTTCTTTAATTTGTTAGAGCGCCACCAAAGCACAGGAACAGATTTGGACACAGCTCTCATCATCTGCAAATCTCCAGAGCTGATACATTTCTGCTTTAGTGAGTTTATGTGAATAGCAGAGAACTAGGGCTGGGCGATATAGCAAAAAAGTAAAATCTCGATACTTTTTCCTGCTTTGGACAATTTCTATTTATTATTATTATTATTATTATTTATTCTATCTAATACAAAAGTCTTGTACAGACTGTGCTGATATTGAAAGTATAATTAATGTGCTGCTGGAACTTTCACAATATCCTTCATTCGATTTCATGATTTTCACATTTTTCACATTTTTCACAAATTAGATTTTATCAAAAGCCGATTAATTGCCTAAATTCGATTTATTGCCCAGCCCTACAGAGAACTAATACAAATATGTGTTGGGAAATACACAGGACTTACTTTTAATGTTTTTAATGCCTCATACATACACAACTGTTTCAATACATTGTTTTTAATGCGCCATACACTCATTAAAACACATTTGCTGTGAATGCACCTTACATGACCAGACTGCTAATTGCTACTTATATAATTTTTTTAACAATTGTCCTTTTTTAAATTGTTTTTAACCCGGCCGCAGGATGAATAGATCTTGATTTCATGGTCAATTTGCCTTGATGCTTATGAACGCACTGGTGGGACTCAAAACCCTGGACTCCCACGACCTGAGGACTGATTTTGGGCGATAAAAATAAAATTTATTTGATTTGGTTATATTTATGTGATTCAGAACAGAGTTTATGGACTTGTTATTTTGACTCCATTAAGTTTTAGTAGGAATTTAAAAATAGATTAGATTAACCAGAGTGCTTTGAGTCAACAGTGTTTAGTTTTGCTCCATCAGCTATTGGTTATGTGTTATATTACAACATGAAAACCTGTGGCTTGCATTCAAGTATATGTGGAGGGAAAATATTTTATTTTCTCTCCAATGCAGCTGCTGTGGTTTGTATAAAGATGTGCTTGATAGTCCAGCAAGTACTGTAAGACGTATATACAGTTGTGCTTGAAAGGCAGATTTGTTATATGATATTGTGATAGGTAACAACACTTTTTTTCGCTCATTGTTAGTGGTTGTGTGAAGCCATTTATTGTCAAAAAAACAAGTTCGCAAATAAAATCATAACGGCAAAAGCAACTACTCAAATGACACTGATTAGAAGTCTCAATCCTCCAGTTCTCAATAGCATATACCTCCCCTTTAACATCCACGACAGTTTGGAGTCTATTGTGGAAGTGGTGGATTTGGTTCTGTATTCTCTCTGATGGTAAGGCCTCGCATTCATCTAAGCAAAAAGCCTCCATTTCATGTGAATTCCTGGGCCGCCTTGTATGAACTACACATTTGAGAGTTCCCTGGAGTGCCTCTGTGATGTTATAATTTGAAAATAGAACACACACAACCACTAACCACTTCAAAAATCTCCAAAATAAAGCCAAAACAAACAAACAAAGCACAGCTGTATAATGAGGAGGTATAGCCTGTTAGCTCCACCAGAGGAAACGTCCGTAAGCAAATGGAAAAAAATAATAATTAAGTTCTCAAAATTACAGTGTACGGAGACATTTTAGAGTCGAGTTTCATTGGGCACAGTACAAAAGCCCAAACACATCGAGACAAGTGGTGAGCGTGTCACCGCTGACACCGAGTGGTAAAACATCAAAACAAAGGGCCTGGACTGAGTGAAACCTGTTCTGCTCCTCACTAACAAAAGGGCGTCATGAGAAAAAAAAAAAAACAGCCGCAGAATACACAGAGGCCCTTTGATCGCCGAGCAACCCAGTGGTCATGGTTACGCACCATAGCCTCCAGCGTTCACAAATTTTAATATAGAAATTACCTTTTCTCGTGTGACAGTTCCGACACAGAGGGTTTTTGCTCTGTGAATAAAACAGACAAAAACGGTTAGAGGGTAATTGTAGCCACCGCTAAACAGGTTATTTATCTCCAAGAAAAAATCTGTGGTTTGATTTCAGGCCGAAGGATTGTAAAAGTTCTGTCATGTTTGCAACCATTAACATATAGATTTTTAGCTGAAAGTCCACAAAGACAAAACAGACAAATTGTGAAGTGAAAGCAAATTGATGCATGATTCTGTTATTATTTTAAAATAAAAAAATGAAAAGTCGGGCGTGCACAAGTTTTCACACAGCTTCATTAAATTGCCTTTAGAACATTCCTAATGACTGCTGTATGTCCACACCCTGCACTAACAATTAAATAGAGAGGCCTCCTGAGTGTAATCTGTTCTCTAAGTATAGTTACAGGTATGATTATTTTGCTGTGAAATATAGAACATAAATGGCTAACTATTTCTGTGTTTTTTGTTTACGTCAACAAGATGATGATGATGATGGTAAAAATCCGGAGAGTCATGTGAAAATGTGAATCTTTTGGCAGTGGCTTAAACGTAGTATTGACAATGGGAAAGGCACATATAAGATTTCTGCTTCTGCCTTCTCCTTTTGAGCTTTAACAATATCGTATAAAAAAAGTACAAAATATTGTAAAACTGCCCAAATAAACTACTACTACTACTACGACTACTACACCGGTTTGGTGTGGGGCTCAGATAAATGGTCGGCGTGTATTGGTCACTAAACGGCATCATGAAGGCTAAAGAGCACACTAGAGAGGTCAAGGTTAACGTTGTGGAGAAGTTCAAAGCATGGTTGGGTTATACAAACTTATATAAGCTTTGAACACCTCACAGACGACTGTTTAATCAACCATCTGGGTATGGACAGAGTGTGGCACAACTGCAAATCTACCAAGACTCTGCTGTCTGCCTAAACTCACAGCTCAATACTGATAACAGATGCAAACACGAGGCCAATGGTTACTCTGGAGGAGCTGCAGAATTCCACAGATAACATATAAGTCATACACGCTACAAATCTGGCCTTATGACCGTGTGGTAACTAAAAATGTGTAACTAGAAAGTCTCGAACGAAAGCATTCAACACGTGTGATCAGATCTTTGGTCCAAATGCAAAATGTTACGCATGGTTTAAAACTAACACTGCTTCTCTCTCAGTGCACCATCCCCAGAGTCAAATATGGGGGGGCAGCATCATGCTATGGGACTGCTTTCCTTTAGCAAGGACAGAAATGTGGGAAGAGTTGATGGGAGGGTGGAAGGCGCAAAATACAGGACATTATTAGAATAAAATTTGCCTGAAATGGGGATTCTACGCAGCCTGCACATGTATAATTTTGCTTTCACTTCACATGACCTACTATAATTGCTATGTTTTGTTGTTGTGTAAGATGTATTAGTACTTTCGAGAGGCACTGAATATTGTTGTTGCACAATTTCAGGTTCCGATTGTAGGCATAATTTTGACTTCCTGAACAAATGCAATAGTCAAACAAAATAATGTTTTGTTTAAAGTTGTTAATAGCCCAGAACACAATTGCTTCTTCTAAGCCGCAACAGATCCCTTAAAGCTGAAGTAATTTTGTTTGTCCCAACAGACAGTAAAAAATTGGATAATTAAGGATTTTTACTTTAAAGTCAGTTGTGCTTGAACCTTTTATTGCTTTCCCTGTCAGTTAAATAAAATGTTGACAAGATGCTGCATTTGTGTTTTGCATAAGAAAGACATTTGACACTTTGGGATGGAGGGTAGTGTCTTTTTACTTTTCTGTCTGAAAAAGATGATCAATAGATGTGACACAGGCCAACAATACACAGATTTAAAAACATGCACAAACTTTTTTTAGAGCCCTAACCCCAGCTTTACGGGTACAATACCAATGACCATGTTAGTATTATTCATGTTTATGGATGCATGGATATTACAGCTATAATTGTACTTTTTGTTATTGCACCAAAATGTCAAAACAAATTCCTTGTTTGTGAATTTCCTGTTCACCAAAAAGGGCAATGAAAGTTTCTGTTTCTAAATAAAGCTGTTGATTCCCTTGAGAAGATGTTAGTACTTACTACAAGAATGCAGAAGAGACAAAGATTTAGACAGAGAGAGGGCCTGAAGGAGAGATCGGCCATAACTGACGCTGTCCATGTGATCTACAAAGTACACACAGAGTCACACTAGGATCAAGAAGCTTCAGATTCATATGTTTTAAGATAATATAGACAGTTAACACTAGAACTCTCACAGCAGTCAATTGGACGGGTCTTACAGTAGTTTTGGGAGTGTAATTACTTAGCTCATGTATGTAGTGGTTTCATGAACTATGTGATTTTTTTTGTAGCTACAGTATATGTAATTTATTATCATTAAAATATCTTTTTATGGAATGTAAAAATTTAAGTTCAAATTCATTCATTCTTTCCAAGGTGCTAGGTCTGGACAGGTCTTGACATGCTGGTCCTGGTCTGGCTCTACAGGTGTTTGACTGGTCCTAGACTTGTCCTGGCCTGGCAATGGACTGGTCTTAGACTGGTCCAGGACTGGTTTTAGACTGGTCCTGGACTGGGGTTAGACTGGTCCTGGACTGTTTTAGACTAGTCCTGGACTGGTCCTCGTCTGCTCTTAGACTGGTCCTGGACTGGCGATGGACTGGTTTTAGACTGGTCCTGGACTGGTCTTAGACTGGTCCTGGACTGGTCCTCGTCTGGTCTTGGACTGGTCCTAGACTGGTCTTAGACTAGTCCTGGACTGGTTCTAGATCAGCTCAGTTTTCCACCAGAGAAGAGCAAGTGCTAGTTACCATAGCAACACACTGCTTACATGCCAGGAGCTTCAACACACTGTTTTTGCTGTATTTCAACTTATATTCACCAGTTTTAGCACTTATTAAAAGGGAGTTCTGGTGTTAAATGCCGGCCTTTAGTATCGCACACTGGTACATGCAGTATTTAGCATGAAAAAGAAACGCCGGGAAGCTCATGGTGTTTCTTTAACAAGCAGGTTTAGTCAGTTTTGTTAGTTTTAGGCTTAAACGTGAGGTGATGAAAGCAAACTGACCAGGACTGACATCCCTGGCGGACTGGTCTCTACGGAAGCCGATTTTGGAGGACGAATAGGAATAAGAGCGTAGTCTGACATCTTGCTTTGGTTCCTATGAAAAATAAAATAAAAGATTACTTAGACGTCATGCAAAAGAAGACAATGATCATCTTGACAAAGATCTTATACTTTTGCAGTGCGTTCACAAGAAGAGGCCGACTGGCTGCGAGTGTAAGTTAACGGAGAGGAGGGACTAGAATCTTTGCCGTTGTTTTTGTCAACATCGAGCAAAAAAGGAGACACTGGTGACGTTGTATCTGTGCTGTCGTCCTCACTGGTCAACTCCAAGGCCACTAGACCCGGGCTGGAATACACAAGACTTCATACTGATACAAATCTTAAAACATTAAAGGTCCCATATGTCGCTCTTTTTCATTTCATCACAGTCCATCCTGAGCACATGTGTGATAATACCTCCCTGTTAAACACCATACAACCCTCTAAACTTGTGAAATTATAGCCATTTTTTGCATAGAGTTTATGTCACTTCAATTGAAACAAGCTTATCACTGCTCTTCTGGTTCTCTGCCAGTGGAAGCAGACAGAAAAACAGACACATTGAGGATTTCAGAGGCAGAAATAGTGAATAGAAAGTGCAGCCACCTTCGCCTCATTCTTTGTCTTTGGGCCAAATAGTGTCTTCACATATAAAGCACATTTTCTACAAGTTGACGTGATGCTAACACTTTTACTCTCCGACAATAGTAGAAAAAACAGAAGAACTCGATGTGGTAGATGCAGGACCATACGCTGGACTAGGGAGAGGCTGTATTGTAAATTTCTCCATTGTGAGATCAATAAGGTTTTATCTTTTCGTATCTAATGTGCTGATTCGCTGTTTTGATTTCTCCCCCTGTCTCACACCCCAAATTGAGTTGTTTTGCTGCCTGTCGTGAATGAAAGAGAAAGATTGTTCACTAACTAAACCTTTAGCGAGTCAATGAAAAAACAACTTTGGGCATGTTTATGAAGGGCAAATAGAAGTGTAATGATGTCTAAGCAAAGCATTATACGGGACCTTTAAGGAGCTATGTACCTTAGATCAACAATGTCCACGGGAGAACAGTCCATCGGGTTATGGCTTGTGTCCTCGGTGTCCCATAACTGACTGTCGGTCTTTGTCACCCCAGAAATGTGCAGGGTTTTACCAGCACAGTCACTCTGCAAAGAAGGGTCAGGCAGAATTAGAAAATAAAAAAAAAAATATATAGATACATGTATTTTGGATGAATACTGCAGCTATTGTATATCTACCTCAGAAGTGTCGTCTTGGTCATTGGTGAAGTTCTTCTCAGCATCTACTGAAACAAAATCAAAAGTTTAATTTGATTTACGGACTTAGGCTTTGTAAAGTCCTACGAGATGACTATTTTTTAGGGCTATTCAAAAATAAATTGACCGCAGGGCATTTATACCCACTGCTGTCAGACTGTACAATAAGTCACTTTAAGTCACTTGCACTAGGACTGAAAAAAATAAATAAAATAAAAATACCTGCACTACTATTGCCTGTGTAAGATCAATAAAGTCTATCTTATCTTATCGTATCTTAATTTTTGCAAGTTTTGTAACAACTGTCAAATACACAGACATATTTTGGATGGAGAGCAGAGCCAACATCTATTCAAAGTCAGTTACGTGATCACAACACAAAGAAGATGCAGAACACGTTGCAGATTTCTGTCCTGTGCCTTTCCCTGAACCAATTGGTTTTTTAATTTCTTGTGCTGCCCTTAAATGAAAAAAAGGAAGTGGTTGTCATGTCTACTCATTGATTTTTTGCCAAACACACCATTGTAATCACAGCTGAAAAACAGTTAGTGCTGAAACGCAGGTGAATATCATACCTCTGGTCATTGATAATCTACACTGTTAAAAGTCTATTGTGTGTATTAGCATATTACAGCTGTTGAGAGATTTCTTTAATGCATGCCTACACTGCAAAAAATGATAATATATGAGGTAATAATTGCTTGAATTTTAATTTGAGTACATTCTGAGAAGATTTGGCAATGGGACAAAGCCATTCACTCTCATTTCAAGAACTGTTGCTTTATATCTAACTCTGAACCTTGTGAAGCACTTTGGGTGACCTTTGTTTGTAAAAATGTGCTTAGATTACACACTTACTTAAAAAAAGATAATTTTGCTCTCCCCATTGGCAAATCTTGTTTCAGTCAAAAATGTGCTCAAATCAAGATACATTTGGACCAATTTGGCACATTTTTAACTTTTCATTTAATCTCTTATTGCAGTGAGACAATTTCCAACTTTTTGATACCTTGTTTTCACCATATCCCAAAACAAGTTTGTGACTTCCTGTTACATACAATGGCAAAAAAAATTATTCTTATTCTGAATTTATGGTGCAATATGTATATTTTCTAGTTCACAGACAAGTAGGTGATAGTACATAGTAGACAGTATAGATATAACAGATAGTACACGATAAAAAGCTTCATTAGACACGCTCTTGTCTAAAACTACAATGGTGCACAGTCAAAACAACGCATTAAAACCACTTTCTGAGCACTCTACACTGTAAACTTTCCATCCAGACTTTGATGTGTGCTCCAACCATGCCTGCAGTAATGTAAGGGAAATCCTGGGCATCGCACAGGCATTTCCTCTGCACTGCACACTGCACACCGAGAAAACATTAGCGTGGGGCCGTACATTCTACAAGGCATCGGTTGAGGTTCTTTGTCAGCTGCCAACAAATCCATTCACATTCTTATAATTAATCACATGATACCCTAACCCTTGCTACAGTATTTACCCAATGTATTGACTGTTTAGACTGTAAAATGGCACTTTCCAACCGGGAACGCTGTAAGAAAGCAGTGTCATTTATCATCACTCTAAGTTTATGGGATCCTCTCAGCGGGCGCGAGACTTGGCTTCAGGCGCTTCCTTCCACATGAACAAACACTAAAATCCCAGTAACCACGGCAACGGCTGAAACATTTAGGAAACCCGCAACAGAGTTTTTGTATGTTTTTTTTTTTACCGGCACTGACAAACACATAGCTCCCCTGTGCGGTACATGTGGGTCCCGGCACAAAATGTCACCTTTTGTCAAACTTACAAAACGACAACATTATTGGGGGGTTGTTAAGCTCATCCTGTTCAGAGTTGGTACAGAGCCCCACTGTCCCACCACCACTCTGGGGGGTGAGGGGGGGTCGAGAGGACAGAGGACCCCCCCTCAGGCATCTCCACAAACCAGGCTGAAAGTGGGCCAGCTCTGACCCCATTCCAAAGCATTAGTACCACTGACAAGGCAGATTCTTTCTAACACCGAAGACTGACAGAATATGGGGTGTCGTTTTTTCACCATTAAAGCTGAGGTCTCAAACTTTTCATACCACAAAAAGTCATGCCATAGCAAGATGATCCTATAAACTTGTGACATCTATTGACATTTATGGTCGTTGGATATCCACCCATTAGGGCCTTAACTATATGGGTGAAGTTAAACAATAACAAAATGTCTGTCGTATGTAGTATAAATTCACAAAAACTGGTGAAACCGACAAGAGGCGGCAGTGGTCCATGGATGTGTGTTTTGATACGACCATAACTCATAGATGAAAACTACATAAAATACATGATATTTCTGCTGGACATAACATTAGTACATGTGATACCTGATAGCATGGATGGGCACACTCCAAACCGGTCTGCATCCAACGAGGGAACAGAAGGCTCTTTGACGCCCTGATCAAACAAAATCAAATTATCTCATATGTGTGTTTTGAGAAAACAGGGAGGAAAAGCCACAAGAGTCACTTACATTGTACTTCTGGGTCTCTTCAACACACAACTCCCGTGGCACATCTGCAATGATTGAGAAATTATGTCCCGTTTCCTGAGCTTACAAGAGTTATTTGTTTTGTTTTACTCTATACAAGTGGTTCTCAAAGGGGACCGAGCACAAGACAGTAAGTAGAAGGGGGTTCCATATATTTTTTTTATATACTGATTTTCTCTGTACACCACAATTCAGTTAAATTATGACAGGTAACAACAAATTATTCAGAGAGGTCCTTCCACAAGTGGCCGGAGTTCAAGTATCCCTGGGTTTTGTTCACGAGTGAGGGAAGGATGGACATGAGATTGACAGACGGATAGGTGCAGTGTATGAAGTGATGTGGCAGCTCTATCAGACCGTTGTGGTGAAGAGGGAGCAGGGTCTGTAATCAGAGCTGCATCAGACTGTTGTGGTGAGGAGGGAAAGCTCTCAGTTTGCCGGTCAACCTACATCCCCTCACTCACCTCTGGTAATGAGCTTTCGGGAATGACAGAAAGGACGACGTCACGGACACAATCGTTCGAATTGAGCTTCCTCTGCAGAGTGGCTGGGCGCTCAGTCACAAGAGAGGAGCTCAGAGTAGAGCCACTGCTTCACCACATTGAGAAAAGAGGAGACTTCGTAAAAGACCCAGGACATGTTTGAGGGTCTATGTCTCTCCACGGGCCTGGGAACGACTCAGGATTCCCCCGGATGAGCTGGAGGAAAGGGAAGTCTGGGCGTCTCTGCTCAACACAGCAACGGACCGAAACAAACAACACCACAGAAGATGCAGCTTGATTTGTTCTTTTTAAGTTCTATTTTATTGTCCACCTAAGGAAATGAGTCCTCTGCATTTGACCCATCTTCCCGAAGCCTCTAGGGCCACAATGATGAATACTAATGAATACTTCTTTACGGTTTATTTAGCAGTGGAGGGTGTGAGTTAGTTTCAGCCTTAGTTTTAGGCTTCGTATTGACAAAAGTTACAGAACCCCTACTGCCTATTTTGTTGGCAAATGCATGAATCCACCTGTCTAAAGCCAATGTACTGATTTTAAAAAGAGCAAAAATGACAAAAAGACCAGCTATTTATAATCTCACTGCAGTCTGACGTTTCGGAACCATAACCCTCTTTTAGACAATCCACAAACAGTATTTATTTTTTCATCAACCAATATTCTATACTCAACACTTACGTACTTGCTACATTTTCTATAGTGATGTTCTTTTCCAAAACCATTTCTCTGAGACTAAACGGACGGAGGCTGGAGTTAAGGTCTATAATAGAAGACACACACTTCCTGCTTCGTCCAAACAAGTCGATGTGAGCCTGCCGCAGCCATAGTTACCATAAACTCTCTTTCGACAGACAAATCAGTCAATATACTTGGGCTCAGGACAGAAAGAGTTGTGACTTTAAGCTGCAGTGATCTGTATCTATAGTACGTTTGGTTGCATGCCACGTAGTGTATGTCACAAAATAAACATCCCTATTATGGATTCTACTTCAGGCTGTCAGGTTTCAAAGTGCAACAAGACAGAACAGGGCTAAATCTGTTTCTGTTTACTGATGGTAGGAGTGCAGAGATGTGGTCAAAGCTATCAATTATTGAGAAGAAGACGCCACAGAGCTGTTGGAGCTGAAGACAAAAGCTTTTAGAGAAAACATGAAAGGCTGGTCCTGCGGTCTGGGTCTTCCACGTGAGGATTATATAATACTCCTTCAATCAGGTTTAATACTAAGACTCCCAGACTAATGGAGCTACTAGACCTCCCAGAGCCGTCATTTTGACTGGAATTCTGAGACATTCCCCAAAAAACGTTTTAGTTTTTCACCAGATGTGATTTATGAGGTTTATTTTACCTTTACTCACTTTTAATAAGTGCTAAAGCAAGGAAATACCGTTTATTAGCTAAACAAAAAAAAAAGCTAAATGCTAACTGCTGCAGGTAAGCAGTATGTTGCTATGGTAACTAGCACTCCTCTTCTCTATTGAAAAACCAAGCTGAACCAGAACCAGTCCAGTTTTGACTGCCATAAAATGTTGGCTACCAAGCGACCAAATAAAGCTACATTAGAAGTTCACATTCAAATGAATAGAGCAGTCAAATTGACTACATTGGGAGTTAAAGGTAGAATGACTCACATTTAAAAAATCTAAGATCATTTGATAAAAATAATGACGTAGAAATAAACTACATATGATAGTGTGTGTGTGTGTGTGTTCATGAGAGCGTGTGTGTGTTTGTCTGTGGTTTGGGGTGGGTCTGTTGGGTGGTCGGGGGGAGGGGTCATGGGCCGGCGGGATTGTTTTTAACCAAACTGTAAAGCACTTTGTGTTGCATCTTTTGTATGAAAAGCGCTTTATAAATAAAATGTGATTGATTGATACAAAAAGATCACAAAGCACACTTCAAAAGCAAAAAGCCGTCAAATTGGCTGCACTGGGAATTCTAGAGTTAAAAAAAGTAGTTGGACTTTGGCATTTGCTGCGACTTTCTCCTCTCAAGATGAACTCTATAACTATGCCAGACACAAACTCCTCTTACCTGTGCCATTCAAAGTCTTTGTTCCTTCGTGGTCCTCATCACCGCAGACTTTACAAGCTCTGACCTGAGAAAATACACAAAAATACTGCATGTTATGATCCTTGGCGTTGCAGAAGTATGCAGAAGGACCTGAGTGCCCGGGGTTTGATTTACAATGTGTTTTATGACCTCAAACATTTTTCTCAACTTCACTCAACACATAAAAGAAAGTGTGACAATGTGTGTTTTTATTTTCATGTTTACGGTAATGACATAATCAATAAGAATATATGTACAGTATGAGTTTTACTGTGGGCCGCACTAACCCGTGTGAGAGTGGAAGGATCTTTAAGTCGCTCTCGAAAGGTCAAAAGGATTGTTTCGTGGGAACTTTTGTCCGACGAGTTTCGTAGGGTGAGAGTGAACGTGCTTTTTCCCGGACAGAACCTCAGAATGCTAGAACTGTTGGACCAAATGCAGCAGACACCTACACACGGTTCCGGAGAGCTGAACAGAAAAGCAAAATAGAGGTACATATACAGTAAATAAGACCCTTGAGTGATATTGATGGAAAAAGCATGTATTTTAGCGGCACAGAATTAAAAACATAGAATCACTTACAGATTTTCTCTCTGAGGGATTGAAAGAATAGTCTCCGCATCCTGTTTGGGAAGAGTCCATGCCCTTTGACTTTTTAGTTGATACGTGACGAAACCAGAAAGATGGACCAGACCCAAGTGTTCGGCCAAGTGCAGAAGTTGTTTGCTGTGCTGAGAATCATACGCTGGGAAAAAAAGTGACAAATAAAAAAATAAACATGATATAAAAGTGATCTCCATTTCAACTATAGAGTTTCTTGTTTGTTTTAAAATGCAATAAACTGGGAAAATGCGAGAAAATTATAAATCATCATGGATCGTTCACTTTCAGTCTTTAGCATCTGGTCTAGAGTTTAGTCAGCACTGCAAAAAACTATAAATATGAAGTAATAATTGCTTGAATCGGGTGGTTTTTGTCTTATTTTGAGTTCATTCTGACTGTCTTAAAACAAGATTCGCCAATGAGACAAAGCCATTTAGTCTGATTTCAAGAACTGTTGCTTTATTTTCTCAGTCCAAGGGACATATTTCTTGTTTCTTCTTAAAATAAGACCATTTTGCTCTTTGTCCCATTGGCAAATCTTGTTTTAAGGCAGTCAAAAAGCGCTCAAATTACGATACATTTTGCCAAATTAGAGCAATTTTTTGACTATTTTCCATCACTTTTTGCAGTCTGGTTGAACATATATAGAAAGACAGAAAAGTAGCATTTGGGGTTTGACAATTGGCCTCTCACAGTAAACAAAGATTCTGAACAAAACATTCCTTGAACAAAGAATACTTTTATTTGATGGATCAGTGAGAGGAAATAACGTCTTGTGTGTGTTTTTTTCGCCGACACATCGCCTGAACCCACAGACCAACACGAACAAGACCCAAAGCTGACCCAGTGCTTTCTCATTTCACTTTTGTTGGATCTATCTCTCAATATTGTAACATAGAGATGATAAAATAATGTTATGTTGTACAAATAAGTGACCTGTATAGTTAGTATAGCTTTTGTGTACATAATACATCTTGCACAAAAGACAATATCATTTTAGTTTAACATATCATTTTTTAAAACATATTTCCTGTCTTTTCACACAACCTGAGTGATTCTATTTATGCCACATTTGACATGTACAATACTCCATTTCGAGATCAATAAAGTTTATCTTATCTAACTTTACAGATGTTAACTTTTGGTTTCTGCTATGTTTATATACAGCAATGTACAGTATGTTTGTTTTTGGTTATTCTACTTCCAGCAATGGTGACCGCCTGTTGCATCTCTTAAAGGGAAGGTCAATTACCCGCCCCCACAGCTTCCTGATTGGTCTAATTTTCGCCCGAATCAAATCCTGGATAGAAAGCTGAGGCCCATCCCCATTGGTTTAACTATTCACCTCCAGCAAATATGATTGGTGGTGGTTATGCCAAAGGACGACTGCTTTAACCCTTTAATGGTCACTAGAATAAAGCAACATATTTTTTTTCTTTTTTGATTTTAATTATAGGCTTTTACCAAATGTTTGAGAGATGCAGTTTGATGGTAAAAGTGCCTAAAACCAAGTGAGATGCCCTAAAGTGGTAGATTTCAGGGTTAAATGTATTATTCATGGAAAAATACTACATTTATATGATACTACAGGGTCACATGGTCAAAAGAATGCACTCCTATAAATATCAAACACAAATGAAGTTGCCGTCATCCTCTCTAAATAATAACTGTCAACTTTCCATGATCAGATACAGAATACACAGAAGAGTAATAGTGAAAGCAAATCCAGTCCAAGTGTACTAATAAAAAAAGGATGAGAGCAGCAGCAGCCAGTTCCAAAGCAGAACCCTGTGATCTAAAAGAAGAGGAATAATGCCAGTAATTGCTCGGTCTTTGTCTCACTGGGCCTTGGCTCGTCCAACACGTGTGATGGAAAAACTCAAAGGTGAAGACAGAGCTCATGTAGAGTTGGTAACACAAGCTGATAGAAAATCTCTGTGGTCGTATAAACACTAAGTACAAAGCAGAAAATGAAAAGAGACCTGAAACTTCATATTACGGTAAATGCTGGACTAAAAACCTGCTTTTTTCAAATGTAAAAAGTTAATGCAATTATGTCTTCTTTTATGTTTAAGGCTTGGAGACAAAAGTGTAAAGAAGCTGGTACTGCTCAATTCTTTGTCATGTTTTGGCGGTAGACTATGCCTTCGTCAGAGGACCTTCAGTCCTGCTTTAGTCCTGCTCTAGTCCTGCTCTAGTCCTGTTTCAGTTCTGCTTAAGTCCCGTTTCAGTAGTCCTGCTTTAGTCCTGCTCTAGTCCTGCTTTAGTCCTGTTTCAGTCCTGCTTTAGTCCTGCTCAAGTCCTGTTTCGGTCCTGCTCTTGTCCCGTTTCAGTAGTCCTGCTTTAGTCCTGCTCTAGTCCTGCTTCAGTTCTGCTTTAGTCCTGCTGAAGTCCTTTTTCGGTCCTGCTCTAGTCCCGTTTCAGTAGTCCTGCTCCAGTCCTGTTTCAGTCCTGCTTTTAATAATAATAATAATAATAATAATAATAATAATGCATCGGTTTTATTTAGCGCTTTTTTGGACACTCAAAGACACTTCACATGTTATTATTCTTTCACTCCCTACACAGTGGTGATAAACTACTACTGTAGCCTCAGCTGCCCTGGGGCACACTGACAGAAGTGAGGCAACCAGTAAGTGCCATCAGCCCCTCTGACCACCACCAACCATTCACACACACACCAGACTCATTCTAGGCAATGGGGGTGACGTGTTTTGCCTAAGGACACAACAACAGTTTGGCACTTTACAGCCGCAGCCGCCCCACTCCCACTCCCAGAGGTTAAGCGTCTTGCCAAGGACACAACGACAGCAGACATCAGTGGTAGTCGGTGGAGAAGGTCTTGTGGTGGACTCTAACCCACAACCTTCTGGCTAAAAAGGCCAATGCTGTACCAACTGAGCTACTGTCGCCCTTTTGTCCTGCTCTAGTCCTGTTTCAGTCCTGCATCAGTCCTGCTCTAGTCCTGCTCTAGTCCTGCTCTAGTCCTGCTCTAGTCCTGCTCTAGTCCTGCTCTAGCCCGGCTTTGGTCCTTCTTTAGTCCTGTTTCAGTCCTGCTTCAGTCCAGCCCCAGTCCTGCTTTCGTCTTGTTTTAATCCTGCTTTTAGACCTGCTTCAGACCTGCTTGAGTCTGACCTGACAAAAATACACTTTTGCCTCATTAGAAGAACCTTTTTTTTCTGTGATATGGGCTGTTGTCAGAGAAACGTTTATGGCATTATTGCTTTGACTCCACCAAGTTTTAGTAGCTACAGTTTAGGATGCTCTTTTAGACCAGTCTATTGTCTATCTGCTTTGTGTTCTTCCATTTGCTGTCGGTTAAGTGTTACAATACAACCTAAAAACCTGCGGCTTATATTCAAGTGAGGGCTATATGTGGACAAAAAAAAACTGAAAATGTAGCTGATGTAGTTTAAGTTCAGTTTCTGTTAATAATCCAACACGTACTATAATCGCCCAAACCAGAATTTGACTCCTGTCCTGACAAGTCCCGATGCTATTGTTTTTCTTTTTATCCTTGCGCTATGCCCTGATCCGTCGGTGAATGTTGACGTTGTATCATTGGGCAAGACACTTTATCCCCCTTTCTGCATACACTGGTGATAATGAGTGGGTGGTTGCTCGATATATGGTAGAAAGATGCTATATATATATACAGTATATACAGTACACCATGTCCTCACCTGTTCTGTGGTGTTGACCTGTCTGCTCTGTCCACTCCGGAGGGTAAGCCAGGTTGGCCATTGCAATCGTTATTTTCTCATCCAACAATTTGAGCTTGTCTCTTATGTCTCCAAACTGTCCGTCTCGCTTCGTCCATTCAAAAAAGATCTTCTGAATGTCCGGATAACTGGGAGGTCCATGGCTGCTTGAGTTTAAGTATTCTGCCATGTCCTGGACCACATCCTTAACGTACTGGACAGAAGATTCACCTTCACAGCGCACAACCCGGCCCTCGAGGCAGCGGTAAGGTGTGACGGACACAGCTTCTGGGAGATCATGGCCTAGAGGGAAACAACAAAAGTATGTGTAAGGTAGAAGCTGTAAATCCGGATGAACTGAGAGAGCCTACCTGGAATTATGAAGTGTATTGTTTGGCCATCGTCTCCTGTTGTAGCAGCTGCCACGTGAGTTAGACGAGAGCCTTGAACAACCACATACAACTCCTCGTCCTCGGAGCGGGACACATGGTTGTGTAACTGCACATGGTGCTCCTCAAAACCCTGAGACAGAAAATGAGAGAATACAGCTCCATTTACAGAACTGAATAACAAAACAAAAGGCATTTTTTTTGTGTCCAAACATGAATGGATTGTTAAGCGGCCTGTCTGAACCTTGCCTGAAAAATGCCAGACTATAAAATGATATGAAATATATAAACCAGTTTATCTACATCCAGGGCCAGCATGAGCCTCATGAAACAGAAAATAGTAATTTCAATTCAAACAGCTTTAACTGTGTTTATTGTGCCGTGGATTTACTGTATAATTGTTAGTTATACTTTAGTTTTAGACTATCTCTGAGTCTCCCGCCAGACTGCGTCTTTAACACAGACTGCTCCAGTAACAATAAAATATTAACAAGCTGGTGCCTGAGCTTCATGCCTCCCATATGGGCAAGTGTGAAATATCATGTCTTACGTTACAGCTGCAAAGTCTAAAATGTTTAGTTTTTTTTAGATATACGTTACAATCATTACAGGCACTTGTTTAAATTAAAAGATTTCACAGACAGAATTTCATACGACTCTACAGGAAAAACATGACATAGTGCTGTCGATGGTCTCCAGGAAACCCTGGGCTCTGTGGCTCATGATCTCCTGAGTGCCCGCGCCGGTGACGTCAGGGGTAGATTACCGTTACAGCAACAACAACACGGCAATCTCAAATAACACTCACTTATCCTGGGTGAGAAAACGTCTGACAAGACAAACAATATAACATCCCAGTTTAACAGCTTCACTTTCAATACAGCGTCACTGAAGCATCACCAGCACAATGCAATGGAAAGAAAAGGTGGAACTTTCTCTGTTCAAATAGTATGTTGTAAACTATCACAGACAAAGAAACAAAAAGTCCATGAACACAAACAGGACGAGGCCTTCCTCCAGGACAATATGAGTCAGGACTCAGGAGAGTGGAGATGCACTGTCAGGACACATCAGTGTCACAAACACATGCAAAGTGCCATTATGTCTATTTTTGGTTTAAAAAATGTTAAAACCTTTCCTCATCGTCAGTGTCTGACATCCCGGTTGGACCAGGGCCTTTCTGAGTGGAGTTTGCATGTTCTCCCCGTGTCTGCGTAGGTTTCCTCCGGGTGCTCCGGTTTCCCCTACCACTAAAAATATGTACAATAGGTATGGCATGTGCCTCCTGTACTGGCACCCCCACCCAACAATTGTAAACCGCTTTGAGACTCCGATGTGCAGTGAAAAGGCGGTATATAAATAAAAACTTACTTACTTACTTACATCATCCGTACAAATGAGACTCCAGTCTCTTTATAATTCACACTCTCAGACGAGGAGAAGGCGAGACGGCTGGAGGAGGACTTTCTAAAACACCAGCTTTATTTCCTGTTTGCCTTTGATAAGAGGCGCACAAATATACTTTCACATGTGCTTTGGCACGTGCTGTTAGTTGATCTGCCTCCTTTAGAGGTTAGAGTGCACTCCTCTGAGCATGTGAACACTAGAAAGATATCACAACATTAGCGTGTTGTAATTAGCCCGCTATTCCAGGTGTATTCACTTCAGTCATTCTGTTGTGGCCGTATTTACAAACCAACATTATACATTTGAATATTTGTTCCAAAATTTTCAATGTAAAATCTTTCATTTACTATTTCTAAAATATTCCTCAGGGCTATTCCACAATATTTACTCAACTGCTATATTTTTTCTTACTGTCCCAAACCTGAACCTGGACGGGACTACATCCAGCCAGATTTGAGCCATTTCTGTTGAAGATTTAAAGTATTTGACTTCACCAACCGGGTAAGCCAGAACCAGGGCCGTATTCCTAAAGATTCTAAGAGTCCTCTCAGAGAGCTCCTATCTTAACCTAAAGACTCCTAGCTAGGAGTCTTAGCTTAAAAGTTATTCCAGAACACTCTTAGAGAACTCTGAGCTAGGAATTGACAACAACTCTTATCTTAGTGAGGAGGCGTGGCCGAACCCCGTTGCTAGGTATGAGTCATCATTTCAGACGCTGTGATTGGTTGTTCCTACAAGTTAGAGAAAACAATGGCCCAGTCCCAATACCCACACTGCACCCTACACACTTCTACGAAGTGTGCATTTGTTCGAAGTGCACACCAGGGTTGGAGTGCGCAGGTTACAAGTGTGCAAAAAAGGCCGAATTGGGACAGTGCACACTGAGTGCAGGTTACGTCATCGACTCGTCAAGAGATGGTCATTTTCAGACCTAAACTTTATAAAAATTAAAGGTAACTTTGTCTGACCCTTTGGGAAACAAAATGAATTGCTTCACACACGTTAAAATACATGTATATTAGTTGTTTTTAATTAGAGATAGCTGTATAATTTTAAGTTAAATGTGGGTAACTAACTATCTGGTCAGTTTTTATACATTCTAAGATTATTGTACTAAGTGTAAAGTTTAAATTGAATGTTATATAAACGCTTGCTTTAAAAAGTTATTAAATTGTTAAAACACAATGTCCGTAATTCTTCATCAAACGTTTATGCTTCTTTCCAAGTAACATGGCAAAACTTATTTACACACATACTGCATATATATTTCAAAATTTATATTTAAATGCATTTTCCCGACGTTTTGGTGTGTACCGCAAAGAATCCTTTGCCAGAGTGTGCATAGATGCAGGCTACGGCGAAGTGTGGATCAGGGGCGCAAAGGGGGCGGGGCCAAATACCTCCCTGGAGAATTGGGACACCCTACGCACTCGCACCCTTTATCGGGAACGCGCAAATGAGGGGCGCGAGGGTGGAAGTGCGAGTATTGGGACGGGGCCATATATTGATTAAAGGGAAAAATAAGGATCCTCTAATGGACAAACTTAATAATGGAATCTAATCTTTGAAGACTGTGTTATTGTAAATAATAGTCAGAAAAGGTAGAAAGTCATATAACAATGGTAAATTAATACTGTGAATAGTAAGTTAGACTTTTACACCACATCATCAGAGCTTACTCAGGACCAGATTATCACACATAATTAACACACGTATATAACATGAACACTTTATGTATATGTATATATATATATATATATATATTTATATATATATATATATATATATATATACACACAACACACATATATTTATTTATACACATATTTATATATTACTCTATGTATAATATACATGATAAAGAAAAAGATTATAATAAATATTATATGGATAAATGATGATAATGATAACACTAGAAACTTGCAATGGCTGAAGCCATTGCGATTGACTGCGGAACAGATCTAATGTGGAAATCTGCTAAAAAAAATCCTTGAAATCCTTTAAAAGGCCTTGAAACTGTTAAAATACTTGATAGATATTTGAAACTCCTGAAGTCCTTGAAATTGTTGAAACCTTTAAACTCCTGAAATCCTTGAAACTGTTGAAACATTGAAACTCCTGAAATCCTTGAAACTTTTTTTAAACCTGGAAACTGTTGAAAGTGTGGAAACTCCTGAAATCCTTGAACCTCCTGATATCCTTGAAACTGGTTAAATTCTTAAACAGTTGAAATCCTTGAAACTACTGAATGTATTGAAAGTGTCCTTGAAACTGAAAAATCCCCTCACCGCTGAAACAATTTGGTTCCTGTAACTAAGGAAACCTGGTCTGTGGTCATTATCTGGTGGTGGTCTGAGTCTTCGTTTGGGTCTTGGTCTGGTGGTATAATGCAACCTATTAGGTTGCATTATACTGGTTTACATGGAAAAATCCCTATTAGGTTGCATTATACTGGTTTACATGGAAAAATCCCTATTAGGTTGCATTATACTGGTTTACATGGAAAAATCCCTATTAAGTTGCATTATACTGGTTTACATGGAAAAATCTCTATTAAGTTGCATTATACTGGTTTACATGGAAAAATCCCTATTAGGTTGCATTATACTGGTTTACATGTACAAATCCCTATTAAGTTGCTTTATACTGGTTTACATGTAAAAACCCCTATTAGGTTACATTATAGTGGTTTACATGTAAAAATCCTTATTAAGTTGCATTATACTGGTTTACATGTAAAAACCCCTATTAAGTTCCATTATACTGGTTTACATGTAAAAACCCCTATTAAGTTCCATTATACTGGTTTACATGTAAAAACCCTATTAAGTTGCATTATACTGGTTTACATGGAAAAATCCCTATTAAGTTGCATAATACTGGTTTACATGGAAAAATCCCCATTAAGTTGCATTATACTGGTTTACATGAAAAAAACCCTATTAAGTTGCATTATACTGGTTTACAAGGAAAAATCCCTATTAAGTTGCATTATACTGGTTTACATGGAAAAATCCCTATTAAGTTGCATAATACTGGTTTACATGGAAAAATCCCCATTAAGTTGCATTATACTGGTTTACATGTAAAAAACCCTATTAAGTTGCATTATACTGGTTTACATGGAAAAATCCCTATTAAGTTGCATTGTACTGGTTTACATGGAAAAAACCCTATTAAGTTGCATTATACTGGTTTACATGGAAAAAACCCTATTAAGTTGCATTATACTGGTTTACATGGAAAAAACCCTATTAAGTTGCATTATACTGGTTTACATGTAAAAACCCCTATTAAGTTGCATTATACTGGTTTACATGGAAAAATCCCCATTAAGTTGCATTATACTGGTTTACATGAAAAAAAACCCTATTAAGTTGCATTATACTGGTTTACATGAAAAAACCCTATTAAGTTGCATTATACTGGTTTACATGGAAAAATCCCTATTAAGTTGCATAATACTGGTTTACATGGAAAAATCCCCATTAAGTTGCATTATACTGGTTTACATGTAAAAAACCCTATTAAGTTGCATTATACTGGTTTACATGGAAAAATCCCTATTAAGTTGCATTGTACTGGTTTACATGGAAAAAACCCTATTAAGTTGCATTATACTGGTTTACATGGAAAAAACCCTATTAAGTTGCATTATACTGGTTTACATGGAAAAAACCCTATTAAGTTGCATTATACTGGTTTACATGTAAAAACCCCTATTAAGTTGCATTATACTGGTTTACATGGAAAAATCCCCATTAAGTGTTAAAGTTTCTAACGACGTGTTGATGGCGGCAGATTCTGGTCGCTATACAATATTGGTTTTGCTAGATCTGACCTCTGCTTTTGACACTGTGGATCACAGTATTATGATAAATCGCCTTGAAAAGACGATGGGTTTCTCTGGTTGTGTCCTTAAATGGTTCACATCATATATTTGTGGAAGAACTTTCAATGTTGCAGTAAATGATATTGTGTCTGATGTGTCTCAACTTTCTTATGGTGTTGCCCAAGGGTCTGTTCTGGGCCCTTTATTGTTTTTATTATACCTCTTACCTCTTGGGAAAATTATCGATCGTTTTAAGAATGTATCTTATCATCTCTATGCTGATGATGTCCAACTGTATTGCTCTTTTAAAGACACTGAATTTCACCTTATCTCCCAGTTCTTAGAGTGTGTGTCCGAGATCAAAGGCTGGTTAACCACAAATTATCTGCAGCTTAATTCTAACAAGACCGAAACCCTGATTTTTGCTCCTGACAATAAGATTCAAGACATCAAACAGCACCTTGGTTCACTTGGTTCCTCTGTCACATCCCCCCTCAGAAACCTGGGGGTTGTTTTTGATCAGGCCCTAAATCTGGACACACACTGCAAACAGCTCGTCAGAAACTGCTTTTATCATCTCAGAAACATATCTAAAATCCGGAAAATATTGTCGCAGAAGGACTTGGAGATGCTCCTTCATGCCTTTGTTTCCACACGTCTTGACTATTGCAATTCATTGTTTACTTGTCTTAATAAGAGTGCTCTTAACAGACTACAAATTGTGCAAAACTCCGCTGCCAGACTTTTAACAGGAAGCCCCCGGTGGTCTCACATCACCCCAGTCCTGTCCTCACTTCATTGGCTCCCAATCAATTTACGTATTGATTTTAAAATTTTGGTTTTAACTTTCAGAGCCTTAAATGGTCAGGCTCCCGTTTATATCTCGGACCTCTTGACCCCACACTATTCTGGCCGCACTCTCAGGTCCACGGGCCAGAATTTACTTGCGGTCCCAAAGACCCGCTATAAGACCCGGGGGGACCGGTCCTTCCAGTCCGTTGCCCCCAGACTGTGGAACGCTCTGCCTCTGTCCCTCCGTGTGGTCAACTCTGTCGATGCTTTTAAAAAGGGACTAAAGACACTTCTTTTTAGGGCAGCTTTTAGTTAGTTTCTTTTTTTTTTTTTTTTTGTTGTTGTCTTATTTCCATTGTATTTACTTATTTGCTTTTACCCTGTACAGCACTTTGTGATTTTTATCTGTGAAAGGTGCTCTATAAATAAAATTTACTTACTTACTTACTTACTAAGTTGCATTATACTGGTTTACATGAAAAAAAACCCTATTAAGTTGCATTATACTGGTTTACATGAAAAAACCCTATTAAGTTGCATTATACTGGTTTACATGGAAAAATCCCTATTAAGTTGCATTATACTGGTTTACATGGAAAAATCCCTATTAGGTTGCATGATTACACTGAAGTCCTTGAAACTGCTGAAGTCCTTGAAACTGCTGAAGTCCTTGAAACTGCTGAAGTCCTTGAAACTGTTGAAGTCCTTGAAACTCTTGAAATCTTGAAACTGCTGAAATCCTTGAAACTGTTGAATCCTTGAAACTGTTGAATCATTGAAACTGTAGAAATGTCTGAAAGAGCTGAAGTCCTATTAAAATGCATGGGCCTATTAAAAT